ACCCATGTATGTATGTATGTATGCATGCATGTATGTAATGTATGGATGGATGCATGCATGCATGGATGCATGCACGCAATGTTTGTATGTATGCATGCATGCATGCATGTATGTATGTAATGAATGTATGTATGTATGGATGGATGCATGCATGCATGCATGCATGCATGCATGCAATGTATGTGTGTATGCATGCATGCATGTATGTATGTAATGTATGTATGTATGGATGGATGCATGCATGCATGCATGCATGCAATGTATGTGTGTATGCATGCATGCATGTATGTATGTAATGTATGTATGGATGGATGCATGCATGCATGCAATGTATGTATGTATGTATGCATGTATGTATGTATGTATGTATGTATGCATGTATGTGTGGCTATGGGTCTCTGTGTGTCTATGTGTGCATGTATATGTTTAAGTATATGTACATGTATATCTGTCTATGTTTATGTATGTATGTATGTATGAATGTATGTTATGTATGTTATGTATGGTATGTATGTTATGTATGTTATGTATGTATGGATGGAATGTATGTTATGTATGTTATGTATGGTATGGTATGGTATGGTATGGTATGGTATGGTATTTTGTGGTATGGTATGTATGTTATGTATGTTATGTTTGTTATGTATGTTATGTATGTTATGTATGTTATGTATGTTATGTGTGTTATGTATGTATGTATGTTATGTGTGTTATGTATGTTATGTATGTTATGTATGGTATGGTATGGTATGGTATGGTATGGTATGGTATGTATGAACATCTGTCTATCTATTCTATTTATCTATCTATCTTTCTATCTATCTCTCTATCTACCGATCTATCTATCTATCTATCTATCTTTCAATCTGTCTATCTTTCTTTTTTTCTATCTATCTATTTATCTATCTTTATATCTGTCTATCTAATCTATCTATCTATCTAGCTATCTAGCTATTCTATCTATCTATCTATCTATCTATCGATCGATCGATCGATCTACCTATCTATCTATCTATCTAGCTATCTAGCTATCTAGCTAATCTATCTATCTATCGATCGATCGATCGATCGATCTACCTATCTATCTATCTATCTATCGATCTATCGATCTATCTATCTATCTATCTATCTATCTATCTATCTGTCTAATCGATCTAATCGATCTAATCGATCTAATCGATCTAATCTATCTACCTATCTACCTATCTACCTACCTATCTATCTATCCATCTATCTATCTATCTAATCTAATCTCATCTAATCTGATCTGATCTGATCTAATCTAGTTTAGTCTAATCTAATTTAGTCTAATCTAATCTAATCTAATCTATCCTATCTATCTAATCTATCTATCTATCTATCTTTCTATCTATCTATCTCTCTATCTCTCTATCTCTTTGTCTCTCTATCTCTCTATCTCTCTATCTATCTATCTATCTATCTATTTATCTATCCGTCTATCTATCTATCTATCTATCTATCTATCTATCTATCTAGCTAATCTATCCATCCATCTATCTATCTATCTATCTATCTAGCTAATCTATCTATCTATCTATCGATCGATCGATCGATCGATCTACCTATCTATCTATCTATCTATCTATCTATCTATCTATCCATCTTTCTATCTTCACATCTTTGTATCTCAAGACTATGGTTTCCTGCAGATTTCCCCCTGACCAACCAAGCAATCAATTCATTGGTTTTGGGTTCCTGTTTGATCTTGTTTTTTTGCATCATAGTGAAGATCACAATGATCATAGTGAATTTTAAGGATGCCTTGATGAGATTTGATTGGTATTTTTGGATCTAATGCTGAATCTGTCACATCAGAGAACTTACAAGTTTACACATTCAACCAATTTACGGATGCATTTCATGTGCTGACTTTTTCTTGTACTGTAGTTGAGGTTGGCGCTGCTAGCTTTGGAAGCCTTCCGCATTTTCTTTGCGTGGCGTGGTTGCACACAGTTCTTTGACGCTCCTGTACCTGTTTCTGCAACTTTTTACGAATAGGTCCAGGTGAGGTTGCATAACATGATATATGATGCAATGCAAAAACATCCTGGCTATATCAAGTGTCCAACGAGAAATGCAACCTACGCAGTCTCTGAAGCCTTTGTGACCTTTGTCTGAGGCATGGTGTCTTCTGGCTCGTCCTTTGCCCAGAAGTCGGGATGTAACTTTGTGAGCCATTGCAAATTTGGACCATTGGAGGATATTGCTGTACTGTTAATTTTTCCAAAAACCAATATCTTTCCCGAAAGCTTGATCCCCCCCATTTTTTCACAGTCAGCAAGATGCATTGGAGGTCACCATGATGAAGTGGGACAGCATCGATTGGGCGAACGTGATGTCCCTTGATTTCTCAACTCTGTGGTTAGATGGGCGGATGGTTCCACGGTAAGGGCCCCGATATCAGGTCCATTGCCCTCCAGTAAGTTAACATCGACATAGATACAGTAACCATGGTTTCTCTATGTTTCTCTGGTTTCTCGAGGAGGTGCTCTAGTTGCCAGTTGCCAGATAAAAAAATACTTTACTTCGTGTGATCCCCACCATGACATTTATACATTTTCTTACTGGCAAATCTTCTGGCATTCTATCTGACATATCTTCTGACATTCTATTTGGCATTCTATCTGGCATATCTTCTGGCATATCTTCTGGCATTCTATCTGGCATATCTTCTGGCATTCTACCTGGCATATCTTCTGCAATATGTTCTGGCATATCTTCTGGCACTCTATCTGGCATATCTTCTGGCATATCTTCTGGCATTCTATCTGGCAAATCTTCTGGCATTCTATCTGGCATATCTTCTGGCACTCTATCTGACATATTTTCTGGCATTCTATCTGGCATATCTTCTGGCATATATTCTGACATATCTTCTGGCATTCTATCTGACATATCTTCTGGCATATCTTCTGGCATATCTTCTGGCATTCTATCTGGCAAATCTGATGCATTCTATCTGGCATATCTTCTGGCATTCTATCTGACATATCTTCTGGCATTCTATCTGGCATTCTATCTGGCATATCTTCTGGCATATATTCTGACATATCTTCTGGCATTCTATCTGGCATTCTATCTGGCATATCTTCTGACATTCTTTCTAACTTTCTTCTGCACATTCTTTGTCCCATATCTTCCTACATGAGGTTCGGCAGGGAACACTTGGCGTGGATACTGGCGGTTGAGGTCCGGCAGGGAACACTGGGCGTGGATGGTCGTGGTTGAGGTCCGGCAGGGAACACTGGGCGGGGATGGTCGTGGTTGAGGTCCGGCAGGGAACACTGGGCGTGGATACTCGCGGTTGAGGTCCGGCAGGGAACACTGGGCGTGGATGGTCGTGGTTGAGGTCCGGCAGGGAACACTGGGCGCGGATGGTCGTGGTTGAGGTCCGGCAGGGAACACTGGGCGTGGATGGTCGTGGTTGAGGTCCGGCAGGGAACACTGTGGATCGCGGGTCGCAGTTGGACGAGGAGGACGACGAGGAGGACGACGAGGAGGAGGAGAGGAGAAGAGGAGAGGAGGAGCAGGCAACTGACATAAAATCTAACAACCCTCACCTGGCAGGTGGGGAATAAGTGGGATAGTCAATCTTGGATTTTCCATATCTATGTCAATGTTCTGGAGGGAAATTCTAACATTTAAATCACTGACATGACCCAGTTACCAGAACATAGGGCGACATCAAAATGGGACATTCTCCACTTGTCAGCTGGCAATGGGGTTGTAGAAATGTGTAAACATGGGGTGAAAGTCTACAGTATCTTCCAGAAATGATTGAAGGTAACTATTACAGGATACTCCTTTGAAATTGGTGGGTCAAACAAAAAGACATGTGAAAACCATTGATTGTTCCTGGAAATGTTTTCTCAAACCAAAACCATTGACTATGAGACTATGATGATCAATGGCGGAAACTGATGGATATTGACCCCACAACAGATTGAACTCCCGTGTTGGGCCATTACCTTTTCACAAATGCTGCAGTGTGTTAAGATGTGCATTGAAAGTTTTTGTACTGTTTTGTATGGTGTTGTTGTATTTGTATTTGCGGACTTTTCTGCAAACAAACTTCAGCAGCATCAAGACTCAAACGCCATGTCTCCCACTGATACATCTCAGGAAATATGAGATACCTGCTCAGGGTTGGGCCCTCAACTCTTTAGATGGATGCAACCAGAGAGTGATAGCCGCTATAATGTTTTTTCAAGCTGCCAGTGCTTTCCAGGATCATTTTTGTCGTACCATTGCTGCATTTGACCGTGCAGTAGAACAGACTCACCACTTGCCGCTGAGAAGTGTTGTTTTTGAAATTTGGTACTTTCAATACAGGCAGATTAGGTCACCCAGAGAGAAAAAAACGCCAGGTGCTGTACTGTTACAGTAGTCATCGAAAAATGTCAGAAGCATCCCAGAAGCCCGTCCACGAGCCCAATAGGATTCTGAAACCAATTTGAACGAAGCATGTGCAGCATGTGAGTAAAAAATATGTCTTACCGTTTTGCCCTTTCTGCAATTGTTCCCATCATAGCCTACCCCCGTCGCAATATCAATCCACAGACAGCAAACCAGGACCATTGATGAAAGCTCTGCGACAGAAGACGGGCAACGAACTCATCCACCTCCATGCAGTGCAGGCGAAAAGCGCCTGGCATACCTCGAGCCTGCCTTGAGCCCTTGAGCTGTTGGAAGCGGATGATGCCCCGTGAGTTTTTAATAGTTTTTCTTACAAAAGATCATCAGTAGAGCTTTGTGACCCAACAGCAGCCTGTCCAGGGTACCCGGGTTCCAAGGTTCCAGGATTTATAAACTGGTTTTGAATGGTTTACACGCTTGATATGCCAGTCCAGGCCCAGAGATTGAATCCCAACAGTGTGTTTTTCAGAACTTGACTGGTTGTTCCACTTTTGTTTCCCTAAGTTTGATGGATGCTTCCCACATTTGGAGCAACCAAATCCACGTCTTTTGGGAAACCACCGATGACAAGAGATCTCTGGCAGGCGGGTGTCCCGGATTTCACCGAGTCCATCGTGAAGGCGAGTCCATGCCTTTGGGGGCCATGGCTAAAATGATTAAAATGATGTTTGTTGGAACCACATATCAATCATATCATTCTCCTATGTCTATCTATGTCTATCCCTTTTTTATGGAGCTTGTTTTGTTATGTGTTGTTGATGATCTAAAATATCTGAATGTTCCGTCTGTTCCGTCCACTAAAGTTGGTTCTGCATTGGATGGCCATCAGCTAAATCAGATCACCTAAGGGTGCGACGCTGCAGGCGTCCACCTACCTGCCAGCCAGCTCTGTGGCGACCGGCTGCAAGTATGACAAGCTAAGGCATGCTACTTTGGTGTGCCAGGAGCGGACTCAGTGGTAAGTTTTTGAGTTGTATCAATTATAGTAAATAATGGCATATCAAATTATAGTTTTATATCATGTTATATATATATATTATATCACGTTATATCCCATGGTACCTTGCACATGGATTGTCCATTGTTCACTAACTCCATGGCCTCATAGGTCGAGACATATGGATTTAACGGTTGATCGTGATTACATAGCAGCATTACATAGCAGCAAAAATAGTGATTACCAGCAAAGGACAAGAATGTGATTTCACCCTGGTTGATCACCTCGAGTGTCTTCCCGGTGGAGGCTTCTGGTCTTCAAGCCAGACAACTACGAGAACTTCAAGGTGCAGATGTGACCAGGGGGAAGACAAAGCTCACATTAAATGCAACTCAGTGAGATCAAGATAGATTACCCCCCGGTACTTAAATGTACTTAACATATGGAAGCTTGCCATTTACAATCGGTAAAACCTATTTACAATCGGTAAAACGGCGAAGACATCCACAGATGATCACAGATGTTGCTCAGGCTATGGACTTCCCCGACCTGTCAGAAATGGATTTGGATCATTGGAATGGAGATTTGAAGCTTGGCTCTGGAGTTGGACAGTCATGAAAACCATCCCATACCATCCAGTTCCCGAGTTTGACAAGCATGGGGGCATTTTATAAACATAAACCATACCAGACCTGCCCAAAACAACCAGAGTTTACAAAGTTTGTTGACATGGTAACCACGTAGAAACTAACTTGGAGGGTTTTGGGATGTTTGAGTCAGCTGCCAGCGAAAGTTGCTGCCACGGTTCCACCATGTTCCGCCACGGCTTCGCCAAGTACCCGGGTGTTGGCAACTTTGCCAACGGCTGACACCTTGTTCTTCCCCTTCGGGACCTACAAGCTCGCCTGGGAAACCGAGACCGCGACTGATGTTATTTCATGATGATTCCATTCGTTTTAGCCGGAGAGAGATTCTGGCAGGAGCCATCAAAAGGGGGCACAAAATCGGATTTTCTCATTTTGGTTGAAGGTTGCTTTCCTTTTAATTACCTTGGCTGAAATGTACTGGTTTGATTATATATGATTCTAATATATATATAACATATAATATATATATATATAATATGTTTGTCCTTCTGGCCTCAAACGAGCAGTCATGAATGTTCAAGCTGATGAACAGAAAAAAATGCAGTATGGCCGCCGCATGATCTGCATCCTAGATGCTTGCAGCATGGACGGGTTCCAAGGAAGGAAACTTCGGCCCAGACATCCACATGCAGATCAACTGACCAAAGATATAAATTCCAGATGATCCATATATATATTTATAATATGATCATTTATTTAAATTATATATATATGTATTGACGCGCATATGTAGATATACTGTGTATCTATATGCATACACAAACACACATATATATTACTTCATGATTTGTCATGATCTGTAATTGTGATGCTTCACGAGCAAACGGCAACGCCAATGCGTTCAGTCTGCCATTCCTGGCTTCGATTGCGCTGAATGCATCTGGATGCATGCGAAGCCGCGGCGGGTGGTGGACCTTCGCACGTGGCTCGGTGTTTATAATTTTGATGCGCGATAGCTGCACCGTTTACTTGTACCATCTTGTACCATTTGTTAGCTCATCACTGTTTTTGCTCAATTTGTCACACCATTCCAGAAACTATATATGCTTTAATGGGCATCCATTGGTCGCTGAAGACAGTGGTCATCAGGAAATCCCATGAAATCCCAACCGGACCACGGCCACGGTCCTAGGAGATGTCCTTCTGGCCTTGCCAAGACACGCTCTCTCGGAGACATCAGGTGTTATGGCCAGGCTCCAGGTGGCACAGTACCAAAGGGTAGTCGAAGCCCGAGTACCTCAGGCTGCAACAATGGGTAGCTGCTAGCGGGGCGGTTGAAATGTCCCATTTCAGACAGAAAATTTGAACTATAGGTGGTTTGACTAGTAGAACATCACCTCCAAACGATTGGGAGGTCATGCTCCCATTGATTGATTGATGTATAAAATCATTGGACATGTCATTTCTGAAGGTGTAAAGGGCGTGGATTCTGGCATCTCTGGCTTTGGTTGGCACATGCTGACCTACGATCGTGATATCAAACAAACAGATTTATATAACTCACCCCACAGCAGGTCTAGGTACATGTTTGTTACATGTTTGTCATGTTTGTGTTGTCACTCATTGCCCTAGTGGTTTCGAGCTGAGGCGGTGGATTGCCGCTGGAGCCACTGTATCTCGGATACAGATCTGGATAGGACATGGTACAAAGGTTGACTACAGCGCGGGAATTCTATGGTCACGTCTTATCAACTACGACACTATGAGTCCTTGTAGGCTTTGGTCAGGGCTTTGGACGGAGGTGTGCTAAGTACCGGAGTGCTTTGTGTGCCCAGAAACAGCAAGGTCCATTGGTTTTTTCCTCAGCCTGATGTCCACTGTCGTTCTGCTGAGGGGCCAGGAGCCAAGATTCGGCAGCATCTCGGGCAAACCCTCCATTGCAACCGGGGCAAAGGAGGCTGTCGCAAGAATGGACACCAGGGCTGCCAGATCTCACAACATGACTTCGGATAACTTGAATTGACTTGGAGTGTAGTCTGTCGCTCTTCGCAGTGTTCATCATTTTTTATGTTTATTATCATTGTTTCTTAATGTTCATCATTTTCCATCAAGTTTCATCAAGTTTTCTCGGATGTTCATCCATCTTCCATCCACGTCGCTGGGCAGATCTGGGCAGTGACGTTTGCAGGCGCAGACTTCGCAGGCCGCAGATGCAAGAAGCCGCCCCTCAAAGGGCCCTTCGCCGGCCTCGGAAGGCAGCATGGCCCGGAATTTGGCAGGCTCCTCTCGGTCCTCCCTTGCTGAACACTGGGCTGCTCGTCAATGATGAGTTCCTGCCAGTGAAGCTTCAAAAGAAGTGACTGTAAAGGTGGTTCTTGGTGGTTCTTGTGTTCTGTTTAGGAGTCTAGCCTTTACCTGCATCTTTCGTAGCCAACAAGAATTGACTTGAACTTGATTCAAGACTATTTATTTATATTTATAAGTGAGATGTATATATATATATATATATAGTCTCCCTAATTTAATTATTGAATGGCAAAGGTCCAAGGCCATGAAACAGATTCAAAATGATACAATCCAACAACAACACGAAACAAATGTTGGTTTTCTATGGGTTTTCTTATAGAGTTCCGGGCCCACTGAGGCGCGTCTTCGCCAGCAAACGCGGGATGATGCGTTGGAGCAGAGTATCCAACGGCGACAGGAGAAGGGTTGCTGGCGCCTGGCAGCAGGCCATGGTGGATGGCCTTCCTCGAGATTTCACATGATTTTGTTCAAAATAGGTCAAGAAACAAGATTTTAAGTGATTTGATGTGAGTCACATTGATTTACAGTACTTGATTTGTCGTGATTTCTTATGATCAGACATATACATACTTAAATATTATTTGATGGATCTACTGTAGTGGCGGTTACCCCACCAAGGAATTGAGCAGCTCAGTTAGTAATCCTCATGTTTCCAGGGGAGGGCCTGGATTGGCAGCACATCCGCAATGAATTCTACGGAGCCGTACCGGAGTCCTTTGGTCAGGTTCCAGGGTCGCGGTGAGCGTTCCCCAAATCTACAAACTCAATCCAAAATTACTGTAACTTTCGAGGCGGTCTGTACTACGATTTGGATCTATTTGGTGGGAAGGGATTATATCAATGTCTATCTGGCCCTGAATGAACGTTGATCAATTGGGAATCCAGAAAAGTGATCAGTTGGAGTATCTGAAACTGGTGGGGCCCCCAATTATCAACCAGGGCTGGGAGGTCACCCTGGATGACTGCATCGATGCCTTCCTTGCCTCAAGACGAGGCAACGCATCAAAACCTGTGGAAATTTCAGGGGCAGAACTGGGTATGGTTCATGATTTGAGTGTTAAACACTAAAAACTGGAGGAATATCATTCAAACACATTTTTCTTGGTTTTAATCACATGTTTGTTTACATTCCTTCTTGTATTTGGAATTCGGGTCAAACGAAGCACAAGGAAACACATGTTTCAGGTTTGTTGAAACTCCTCATTTAAAGGGATGGTGAAACATGGCATGATAATGCCAATATTGTGGATCCATTGGCACTGGTACAGCCTCCCAAAAATGCATGATGACCACAGAATCAATAGCAACGGCTTTCTATGTTTGAGCTTACGTGCCAGATCCAATTTCTGGACAACAGTTTTTGAGACATACTGTAGTGAGTACTTAGTAAGCAATCTCATTGCCCATTTGTGCAATTTCAGTACCCCTAAATCCCATGGTGTATCATCAGTATTTTCTCAGTCGTTTCTCTATTCAAGCTGCCATTTGGGTTATGCCAGGCCTTCGTTTGTTGGATTTGGGCTGCGGTGTTGGAGCACTTTTGGCACGCCTCAGGCGGTAGCTGTTCTCCTGTTGTGTTCGTTTCAGTGTCCATTGCTCCAAGACTACGTGCAAGCCATGAGCTTAACCTGTAGATGGTTTGCCACGTGCGAAACGTGGTACACCTGATCCATTGGGCAATCTGCTGCCACCGTCGGCCGTAGGCGAGATCTCGGGGAAGAAATGGATTGGTCCTCCAGCTTCGGCGTCACTTCAGTCCACAACTTCGACATCTCCATGTTCACTCCACCGGCAGGTTCCTTGGAGAATCGCTGGAAACTGTGGCTGTTGGGTGTTTGGTCCTGGGCTGAACTTAATACATCATATACATCATATACATCTTAATGGCACATGCTTTCAATTTCAAGTGCATCAACAAGAATTTGTTGAGGTGTGTTCAACGATTTTCGCAGCAAAGCTTGGTGGCCCACACAAAGAGCTGCTAGAATCGCCTTCCATGGCGGATCCAGTTGAAGTCTCTGACATCCTAGTGTCAATGTGGTCTTTTGATGCAGACCGATGCGCAAAGAGATGTGCCATAGTCACAATAGTCCATTAAGGATCGTTCCGCCAGTTAAAGGCCTCCCACCAGACATTAAACTTGCATCATCTTAGACGTCTTCAGGGTACCCCCAAGTATTAAACCACTATACTAGGTAAATTATAACGACCTCACTGCGACTTCAACTGGAATGATGTTTAGTAGAGGTAACTACCCGAAAACAGCTTTATTTCAGGTCAGTGAATTATTGTAATATATTGTAATCTATCAATTTATCCAGATTCTTATTTCATGCAATGCAGCGGGCTTTCCCGGCCAGGCTTCCCAGACTTCTTTGACACGCAACTCCTGCGCTTCAATTTGGATTTCCTGGCTGAGCATGCACAGACGGCTACCTGCCTGGAAGCTTATGGTTAAGCAACGGATCCAGATGGATCCATTGAAATAAACTAGAATACAGTTGAATGAGCAATACCAGATCTTCACTTTGACAATTTCTTCAACATCAAAAAAACTGATAATGGTCAGAGTCTCAGAGTTAATTTCCAAAAGTATTTCATCCCATTGACCTGGGCAAACACAGCCGGGGCCTCGCTTCAGGATCTTGCTTCAAAGCGCTTCGATGTGATCACTTCGCACTACTGCCCCTTGGAGATGCGCTGGGCGCATCCGCCCTGAAGCCGTGGTTTTAGTGGGGTCCACTATCCATGAAATCCATCAGTTACTGTAGTACTGGTACCTTCAAATCAATAAATCCACAATAGATATCAATAGATCCACAATGATCCATGTATCTACCTGCGGTTTTTCAGATGCCCCTCCCAGGTTGGTGCCATTTGCAGGATCCTTTAGGTGCTTTGATTTGTGCCTTTGGGCTTCTGAGTGCTGGCGGCGTGCTCATCTTCATCGAGCCGCTGCATGTTCCTTGTTTTCAATTGATTTCAATGGGGCTTGGCGTGCAAAAATCAGGTGCTGTCGAGACATGGATATCTCCAGATTTTTTAGTTTGGAAGTAATATATAGCTCTCAGTATAGTTTTTTTTTAATGTTTCTGGCGCCCAAATATGCAGAATTTCTGGAGATCATTGCCACTGAGGTGCCATCCCACTCACTGCCGTACACGGAGCACAGGCGGCCAAAAAAAAGGGCGCGTTTAGGCATTAGACTCCGTGTATTTCCATGTCCCACATGAAGTTTAGATCATAGTTTCTGGAGATTTCTGGTGTCTAGGATTGTGCTTTTCTTTAGGTCATTTTTGTTGGTGACCTTCGTTAAAGAATGTTCGCGAGGCCCCTTTTGTGAAAGTCTCGAGAAGGGTAGATTCCGCAGAGATGGGTCTGGCAGGATACCACCCGATCTGTTGTTTGTGGTTTTAGCTGATGGGCATAATTAAGGTCGACCAGTTAATGCGCAACCCCCAAGGTTACAACGAATGTATAATGATACAATGGAATTAAATGGAATTAAACTAGGCAGCTAAGCATAATATAATTTTGGATTCAGCTTGAGTTGATTGAGTTGTAAATTATCGAATGTTAAACCTCCCATGTGCACCTCTGATCACTATGTGAGGCTCTACCACTGGGATGATGGGATGACTGGGCCCCTCTTCATGCGTCGGCTTTTGCAGCATTGGCAACAGGCGTGCCGCGTCGAGATGCCCCCATGGCTTTGGACCATGTAAAATCATGTAAAGATATGCTAAGACATGGGTGACATGGGAGTATGTTCATACCCATATCGCACCCCCCAAAAAAAAAAACAAAGTTTAATATCCGTCATGGCCAGCACCCATTGGCTTCTCCCTTGCACTTCCGTTATGGCAATCTCCATCTGCTGCGCAGGAGGTGGCCGTTTTCTCTGTGGTGGAAACAGGCCATCGGCAGCATCGGAGTGTTCAGCCACCTTTTCCATTCCTGGCCATGTGCCGAATCGCCAGGTGCTGGAGAGCGTAAGCACGTGCTGGCTCTGCGAAAGCATGCTGAGCATCAACAGCTGAGTTTGCCAGCTGCTGGGCCCAAAGTGGAAAACCACTGGAAAATCAGCTTTCTTGGATGGCGGGTGGACGGAAAACAAGAAGTGTAGTGAACAGGTAAAATCTTGGGATGGTGAAAAGCCATGAAAAGCCTGGGTTTGTGAAAAATCGATGGTATTGAATATATTGAATGGTATCAAGATCCATTTTCAGAGGATCAGATATGATCAGGGATACCTCTCCCTTCCAACAAGCCACCTGACTGATATCAGGCCTCTGTTCGCCCTGGGGCTTCCAGCTGGACTCTGCCATGTGTCCGAGAGGAACGCCTAGGGCGCGGTGATTTGGAGCCATTTGTGACCTTGGCTCAGGGTAGAGACATTTTATAAGAGGAATAGATACCCAACAAATTGACATAGACCTTGAAAATTGACATTTCAACCTATATATAATATAATATTATTCTTTGCTAATTTTGGGGAGATAAAATCAGGTACTGATTCTGAAATTAAAGTTTATTGAGAAAATAGAATATGTAGCCCAGAGGCCAGGCATGGCCAGGCTGGTCGCAACGTGCCTTTCCGTGGTGCACTGCTCAGGTGACCCCAAGCGCCCGCAGCTTTGCCGAGTGGCTGCAGAAGGCGAAAAGCCAACGCTGTAGCCATGGCCTGGCCTGATGGCAGAATCTGCAGAGGTTCATTTGATAGTGAGGTTCATTTTCCAGTATACCCATCATGTAATAGTGATGGTTAATAGTGGTTAATAGGCTATAAACCAACAACAATGAAAATATATGACCATCATCTGGGTAAATTATAACGACCTCACTAGGACCTCACTGGATCATGGTTAGGATTCGGGGAATCATCCCCAGGTTCATACTATAATTTACTCAGAGGGTATGTATAGTCTCTTCATGTTATCATTGATTTGCAAAAAAAATATGTTTGATGTTCAGAATTTTCGCAATGGGAAATTCTCTACATGGGGAATCGATTAATTAAGGGGATATGGTTTATTGGCTGGTTGTTTCCTTAAGAAAGTCCATGTTATTTCAATAATGAGATGTGCGTTGTCTACCATGAATTGCCACCAAAGAATATATTTGTGAACGTCTTATTTCACTATTTTGCTTGTAGTTTATTGCGGGTTGTTCATTGGATTTTTTGTGGTACCGGGGATTGTTTTTATTGTTCCATGTTTGCTGTAGTCTGTCAGGATTGTTCGCATTGCTTGATCGCGCAGCGGAAGATTCTGGAAGCTTTTCTAGGGTATGATGATGATTGTTTTTGTTTCTATGCTGTTTAATGTCCAACATAGTCGATATGGTTCTTGAGTGGTAAGTTCTGGCCAGATACTCTCAGAACCAGTTGCCAACCGGGATGAACTTCCTGAAATTCCAAGTGCAGCTTTGGTCGCTTGGGGCAACAGCTCTAGTGGGTGCCTAAAATGGGCCTGCCAAAGAGAAGCTATAGTCACCTGCGCCAAAAGTGGAGGCATCGTGCAGTAAGCAACCGGCCCATGGAAAGACCACCATATCGTTTATTTTCGTTTCCATGCTGGGGCCCATTTAGTGAAATTTTGGATTTGTTGCAAAGTACTATAAGTTGCTGGAAGACATTTTTTTTTGCATTTGCACCTAGAGATTTCCACAGGACTTTCTGGTTCTCAGTGCATCAGCCAACCATTGGCTCATCATGGCTCATCAAGCCCCATGGTTGGACCAAGGACATGATGATTCCTATGGTCGGAGCCCCTGCGGTGCTGATCACTCCCATGCTCAGTACACTTTGGATTCATTCAAGATCCGATTTATATTATATATATATGTGATATATATATATACAATTATATACATATATATATATATGTGATATAGATATATAGTATATTCTATTTATATTTATGTGTAGTTCTTTTTTGGGGGTAATATATTATATATATATTCAGATACGTATCCGTTTCCTTTACATTCTTGTGCGCATGTGAGTGTGCTCACAACTGAGATCTTTGGAGCCCAGGTGTTGGTGTCGATGACCGACTACAGCGGAGATGTTGGAGACCTCACGGGGTGGGTTCGGTGGTGGTTTTGTGAGGGCTGCGAACGGGTGGGTTTTTGAACGTTGCGTGTGCAACCTGGGCATCAATGGGCATCACCAGAGAGAAATGACATTCAATGATATTCAATGTTCAATATGCGTCATCTCTTTTGACACCGCCAAAAAACACCGCCTAAATGACTCTACCAGTAGAAAGCGCACACAAATCAAGATCTGTGTTTTCAAACTTGGAGAGAGGACACAGGTTGGGACACCTTTGCCACTCCTTCCAAATGTTTGCCTCCGAGATCGCCAAACTGGGTGAAGTGGCGGCCAACAACCTGCCAGCGAAAGCCGGCACGGACAGCTGGGTTGAAAATCCCGATTATGGCTATGGCAAATTCAGTGGGAGACTGGTCGCACACACCATTTTGATGTTGAAAAACAAACTTGGCAGCCGTCCTATGCAATAGATATCATTGATATCATCATGCTTTCTTCTCCCGTCCTAGTTTCATCCGTAAAGCGCTGCAGGAGGAGGTGGGCTATGACATCACCTCCAAGGCATTGGCAACTGGCTCCAGTATGCTCCAGTAGAAGTGAAGTCTCCCCTTTTTTGCATGACCATGTTGTTGAACCAAGCAAGTTTGGGAATGGCATGATCTTGGCGGCAGACAGGTCTTGTCCGATCCACGAGGCGCATTTTTGGCACAGCAGTCTTTCAGCGAGGCTATTCAGGCCTGAAGCCTTGCACGCTTTGGTGGCTTGCTGGTCATGCTGATACTTCTTGCATTTTTGATTTGGGTTGTTTGGGTGTGATGGATGCCTATGGAAGCTCCTAATGACAAGTGCTGCTTGCACGAGGCCGCAAGTTTATATTTCAGGGTGCAAGGGTAAGAACGGTATATGTGAAAATTCGGATCTAGAGGCAGGCTCTGAGTTTGTGTGGTTTTTGCTTTCTCTTACAGACTATTCAGGCCAAAGGCAAGACAGCTGAAGCCTTAGAGTGAAGATATGCTCCTGGTGCTGAGTCTGAGGTGTCTTTTCCCCCTTGCAGCCTGCCCCTTTACATCAGCCGCCAGAAAATAGCCTAATTCCTGAAGTGCAATTTTCCCTTCACTCGCTTTTGTTCACTACTGTACTTGTTGTTCTTCTGTCGTTGACTTCTCTAGTCTCTTCACGGCTGTATTCTCAAATTTCCTCATTCTCTTCAATTCTTTACTCTCTTCTCTTCTAGTCTCTTCATTTCTCTATTCTTTTCATGTCTTAGTTTCTTGGCTTCGCTACTCTCTCCCCTTCTCTACCTGCTTATGTTGTATCCTGTTTTTTCTGCAGCAAGCCACGTAACTCTCCTTTGCCCTGGGCCCCCAAGCTTACCCGCGCCCAGGCCGGCTTCTACAAGTTGATCAGCGAGATTGGCGATTTGATTGACAAAGCTGATGCTGCCAAGGTGTGCTTTTGCCGTCGATTTTTGTGCTTCACTGATCCCAAGTTGGTACACCCCTGGATTGCGCAACGATGTGATTACAATGAGGTATGCGAATTCCGTTGAAAATGCTCTCAGGCAACGCTCATCAAAGCAAGTTTAGCTAGCGAATTTCCGAGTTACGGACGAATGTCCATGGCCAGTCTTGTGTCATCATGTCAACCACAGAGGTAGCAATAGCAGTTCAGGTGGGAACAGTATAGTAAGCATGTGAGCTCACGGGTGAAATACTCTAGGGCGCGAACCCCCGTGTTTTTACGGCTGGTCGCGAAAGTAGGGCACTCTCACTGTTTCTGACAAAATGGTACAGGCTGGTGATGCCGGTGCGCCGCTACTGTCCAAGACGTCAGGGCCCTGTTTTTATGCGACAGAAAATTATGGTATGGTTGGTTGTTTCTGCATAGCTAACATTCATTTGAATGTCGAGTGTTGTGCTGGCATGATTTCATGTGTTGCAGTCTTTATCAGTTCTTACGAAGAATTCCAGATCGCAATGTTGCGGGTCGATTGAACGCAGAAATGGGCGTTTTGAGGTTTGCAGGATGTTTCTTGGGGAGTGTAATGTATAGATGTATAGTATAGACCCCTTGATGCCCCATAAAAGGTAAGCAAGTTTCCTAGCTAGTGTCCTAGCTAACGACATATCAACACCTGGACACTCATCAAACTAATCGCCCAACAAAACACACAAAGGTAGCGTGTTGTTTTCCAGCAATGATGTGGCCAGCAACTGTGCGGAAGATGTCGCAGCTGCAGGCCCCAGGGCTATGAGATTCAGCTGCGGGGTGCGTTGAAAGCCTCTCCAAAGGTGGTGCTGCGTCACCAGCTCAACTTGTGCTGCGGTTGGTGGATGTTGGATGATGTTGGTACATGATGTTGGCAGATGATGTTGCATATCTGATTTCGAATCTGATTTGATTGTCACTACAGTATAGGTAGAAGATGGTAGAAGATGGTATTCATGATGAAGGTGTGTATTCTGAAGTTGTCTCAAGTATGATCTGGGCCTTATGGACATCCAATGTGTACTTTAGATGGCCCATTCCGCGGGGATGACCTGGTCAAGCCCAAGGAGTCCATGGAGTTTTGTTGCAATGGATGGCCTGCGAGCCATCCAAGATGTTCCCTTGCGGTTTTTGACGATTTGTTGTACTGGGTTTATCAATTAAAGCAGAGCTGGCGTGCAATCTTCTTGAGAATGAAGTATATTATATAATTATATAGTATAGTCAACATTAGTCCATCATCACTACTTCAAAGGCCTCCTGGGACCATCAAAGTGGAACATTCAGCTTACCATCAGCCCATCAGCTTACTCTTGTTACCATACTGTACCCATTGATGTTTCTCAGGTGCCCATCAGACCCAATTACTGCCTGCTGGCTGGGAGTCGCTTCCCAAGGTGGCACTTGGGATTGAGACGGGCTCCAACATGCTCTTTGTTATAAGCGACATTTTAACAAACATCAACTGCATTCAGTTGGCTTCTAAGGTACCAGCCAAAATGATATGTAGAATTTGTATGAATTTGTGCATGAGGTTCACGGTTTCGTTATTATATGTTATATGTTATTATAATCTTCGAGCTCAACGGGCTCTCCTTTTATGTCATTGTATTTGGTAGCAAGACAGGTCACGGTATACACAATGCTTCCCAACACCCAGTCCCACAGGACAATGCCTGTCAACATTTATGTCAGCACACCTGCCAGCCAGTGCGTGAGAATTCATGTCAGTACGAATGTCAGCTTCGAAAATTTATTCTGGGTGCAGATACTAGTATCTAGTATCAGCATAGTGGCTTCCGCAGATCACAGTTCACAGTGTTCACAGGTCGGCAAAGATGTAGCAGGCAATCGTCCTAAAAAATGGCAATCTACATGCCAGTACAGACATTGAAGCCTAGTCGTTACCAAGCAATTCTTCTACGTCCACATTTGCCATGATTTTACCTGGCGGAGAAGTGCACCACCATTGTCGTTCCTCTGCGATGGAACGCTTCTCACTTGTTTTCACCCGCCCGGGTCATTGTGCTGGAGGTGGACCCTATGCCATCTTCGGCCACCTGAGCAAGCGGCGAAGTGAGTGAACGGTCTAGGTTTGATCGCATTGATTTAGACGATTTATATAGATCAGTGATTTGTAACTTTGGGAAGGCCATGCTCTGATGCAACTTGCAATTCTTCCTTTTGACAGACAGGGATTTATTCCCTACACTGATTTGTTGCTCTCTTTTATACAGGCTTGCTCAATTGCTATGAATGCAGGCACATGCAAGGGATAGAACGGGGCCAAGGGCGCATATAATATCATATAATACATATTCAGCTGGGCCTTCCCAATCTGGGTCTATGGGTCGGGATTCGCCACGGACACAGCTTCGATTTACAGAACTGCGAAGGTTCATGTGGCTTGGAGACCCAGACATGCCATCACAATGGAAATGCGGAAGGACACAGTTTGGAGATCATCAGAGCGGGGGTTTGAGTTCGGGTTGGCAGCAATGCCTCATGCTTCCAGCACTAGCCGCTAGCCTGTGCCAGAACATGGTGGGGATGGATTGATGGTGATAGCTGGGCTCTAACCAACGCTCACTGCAGTGATTGCTTAGGCAGGTTCCCTTCATGGATTTGCATGATGGCAGTGATCAGCCAGTGATTGAAGTGACTGAATCCACCCTAGCAGCTCGCTCTTGGAAAACTACCATGCATAATCTATTAGATTCTATTAGTATGGAGCCGCTTTTTGATTTAGGACAGAGCCCTTTCAATCCTGGCTGCTCAGTCATTATGTTTCGACACGAAGGTCCGAGAAGCATACAGCAACAAACAATGCTTGCTTTGGTCCGATGGTTGATGCAAATTCAGTTGCTTGTTGCAAGTGGCACACCCATGTTGTTTCTCCAATGCTGGCAACAATTTGTGTGCGGCAGCTGCACCTGGCCTGTGATGTCTTTGGTGCGTCCAGCTTGCATCATGACAATCAAGTCAGAACACAACCAAGACGCAGAGAACCCCAGGATTCCCAGGACCCTGATTTCAGCTTCCAAGACATTTGAACAGCACGGCATTTTTCACATCACCTGTGGTTTTGTTTGTTGAAAGTCAGCAGATTAATGAAAGATTCATCTCCGATCCAGGGGCCCATATCTTCCAGCAAAAGCTTGCTGCAAGTTGTGTGGATGGAACAGCAAGAGGGGCTAGCCATATACGCACACACACAGAGCAACATGACATATGCTATCATATGCTTATGTACACACCGCAACATGACATATGCGAAGGACGAACTAAATCGATGCCTTCGATAGGCAACATGATGTTTTTGATTACGTGTGCTCCATGTCTGAAAGCTTGATTTTGAGCAAAACCATGCTGAACCAGATCCAATCATTATCATCAGTCAAACTTCAATTTTCATGTCATTAACGCTTGTTGGTCCTCCGTCCCGAGAATGCGCAAAGAACCTGGCTATGGAACCAGCAGAGTGGCCGTGGCCAGTAAGAAGTGGAAACTGAGGGCGGTTCTGCTGCCAGTTGCCTTCGCCAGCGACCTGAATGAAATTTGGTCACTTGGGTTTGCCCAACACTTGCAATACCAAGGAGCCACAACAAGGGCTATGCTATGTCGGCTATGTGTTGCGCAATGTGTTGTCATGTTTTTATTTGTAACGTTAACAAATTGATCGAACGACTTCAAACATTTATTGAAAGCCAAGGCATATGTTTGGGACGTAAGTTTGCCATTTGTTTTTTTGTTTATGTCGGCTTGCGGCTTTTCATTGTTGATGCTCACTTTTGGCAAGCGATATCATCCCCTCACCACATAATGTTGATATTTTCGGTTAAATAGTTGAATCCCCAGTCAGTTCTGCTGGTGAAGAATTGGAAGGTCCTTGGTAGCTGCTCCAAGGTATGGTTCAGCATCCAACCTTCTTCTTGCGCCAAGCTTTCTCCAGGAGTGAGAGTTGGTCAAAAGCGCACTCTGGGAATCACAATGTTGCCAGAACAAATTGAACTGCTACCCACTTGGTACTGGTAGATGTTTAAATATATGTTTTTATATATATACACTTTTAAGATCACTTTGGGGACACTATATGTTGTTCATGCTGCCAGGCTCGTAAAGGCTGATCCTGCTCCTCAATGATTCTCATTACAAATTGAGGCGCCCCATGGCTTCGAAAATGCTGATCTTGTGTGCGGCGGCAGGACTTCAGCAGCTCGAATGAGAGGCAGCTGTCCTGGGTGTGACTGAGGAGATGGAATCGCTTTAGTTATTTAGTGTTTTTTTTGTATGTTTTGTAATTTGCTGTACTTTTGTTTTCTTTTTGTACTCAGGAAGATCTCCATAGGTGATCTTCGTGCAAAAATGTATTTCACTTTGAGGACTTTATGTTGTAGAATGTTGTAGATGTATGATGATACGATGTATGTAGATGTGTGTTTGTGTGGCCGCGTATGCAGCTTGAAAGGCATAGCTGACATCTTCAAACTCCAAAGTGTCGTTTTAATGAAGCTTGCAGCTGCAGGCACTGGACAGGCCCAACTGTCATTGGACTCGCCCCTAGCTGCGCCATTGCGCACTCCGTGGTTTCCTGAACGGTGCCTGAAATAATGCATTGATGGGAAGACTTGGTACTGGGTACCAGTGTTCTTTTTGGGGTGATTTTCTCGATCTCAAAACCACGTTATGATTTTGGGGAACCTTCTTGGGAAATGGTTTTGTTTTTTATCGTTAAAGCATGGTTTAATTCCAACATATGCCAACTGACCACATGTCACCTTTACTACGCCTTCGGTAGCTCGCGCGCAAGCGCTGTCAAGGAAACCACTGCCTGAACGTTTGGTTCGCTTGGGCCACTGCATGCTGGTTCCCGCTCTGGGGGCATCCAAGCAGGATGACCAGTTGGCGCTTGGCTTCAAGGTGGAAGAGGGCTCGGATGGGCTCGGTGGTTTGTTAAGACACCCTGAAGATGTTGGAAGGCGATCTTTTGCCATCACCATGGCCCTTGAAGGGGACACATAGGTGCCAGCCAATGACAGGCAATGTGTGTTTGCATCGAGATGTATAGTTTTGTTTCTCCATGTCTTTTGGCGACTTCAGAAGCACTGTTTTTGCGGAACTTGGTTTTTTTTGCAACCTTCTATGTTGGAATATTTGTTACGATGAATATTCACTGCTCCTTTGGTGATTTCTTTGTTCATTCTTGATGGCTTTTGCATGTGATCTAAGTTCGGTCCTGTTTTGGGCGCCCCCTTTTTTGAACATGGGACATACACAGAGAGGAACTACTTCGCAGATTGTAAATACACACTTGGTTTTGGAGCTGGCGTCGACGACCCCTGCATCTACCAAGGCTCAAATGTTGATGGAAGACATCAATAGAGCAGGAAAACATTTGAGGAGATTATGTTTGGGATTTGACAAATTGAGGTGAATCTCACCTCACTTGTCCAATCAATTGCCATGTTGAGTTGACTATGATCAATGATTGTGTTACTTTATATGCATATGCAGTATATGCATGTATATTGATGCGTGTATATTTTCTCTGGTGGCTAGGAGGGAGCTAAGGAGCTATGGGTATCCAGGGAGCTACTAAGAGTTTCCCAAACATGTGAGTTTGCATATAAGAAACATAGCTGCTGTTCGGCAATTTGCGTTGCTGTATTCGGTTGGTTTGTCCAAAAATGCGGTATTCCATGGTATTCCCCAGAATGGCCATTTTAAGAAGGAACATCATGGATTTGGCCAACCAGCACCTTTCATGTGAGAAAACACGGATGGGCCAACCAGATGCCAACCAGGGTTTGGAAATCTGTGGTTCCTTGTAGGATGCATCGGAGCAAACGGCACCTGCAGATTTGGGGCCGCTTGCCTGCAGTCCGACTGTGGTTTGCTAGAAAATGCCAGGATTATGATTGGAGTAGAAATCACATTGATACATTGTCTGTTTCAAACATTCTTCATCATTCTTCCACTAAATTTACCCCACTGTGCTCAACCACCATTGACATATTTCATGGTGACCAAATGGGCCACCATGTTCCAGTGATGGGACCCAACTCAGATGGTTTGGATCTTCAAAAGTGCCGGTTTAAATATGTTAAATCCATTTAAATCCTATTTTGGTTGGCCAAATCTTTGCTGTTCCCTTAGACTCATATATAGATTCTATATGATTCTATAATATATCATCAAATTCCCTAAACTGATTCACAGTTTTTCAATTTTGCATATGGGTATGTGCCTGGATGCAAATGTGATATAGACAAAGGCGCTCAAATTGAAACGTATGATCCGTGATAGGCCTTTGACAATTACACACACACATTACCATAGAGGTGGCCGAAGCAAAAACAAATGACGTTTGCACTTGCTGGTTTGTACATGTCTGTGCAGGAATGCACCTGTTTTTCAAACTGCGTTGAAATAGCCCAACATTGTGTGTGTGCATTTTTTGCCTCGTGTTTTACAGTACATTTCTAGGCTCAGGTGTGGGCGAACGAAATTGCTAGCATAAATTATTTGCCATCACTTGAGCACATGTCCGTTTTCATGAGCAAAACATTAAAAAAAACTGTAAACTACCAAACGGTGGGGGTACTTCTTTGCAGTGCGAATAGTTGTCATTAGTTGTCCGAGTGTTGTGATGTCAGGTAATGTTGTCTAGCCAATAGTGATATCTTGTCAATAGTAGAAACATTTTTCCGCAACTCCAATTTTTGTCCAATACTAAAAGTCAACTAGCTCCATTTACTTTTAGTATTGCCAAAAGAGTCATGTTCAGACCTTGTCCAGAGGGCATGGCCAATAGTGGACCCAACATGGCAATAGTGGAAACTTTTTTTCCCAACTCCAATTTTTTCTCCAATACTAAAAGTCAATTAGCTCCATTTACTTTTAGTATTGCCAAAAGAATCAAGTAACGCAAATCCTTTTCAAAGCAGCCTTCACTTTTGATTAGCAAAAGCTTAGATTCCAGAAATCTGATCCAATTACCAAACAGCTGATTTCCTTATAAAACCCTTATTTAAAAAAGCAAGAAAACAGGTCCACAAAGGGTATCCCCTTTGCAAGCCCCAGAATAGCAATAACAAACCTGCACCAGGCATGGCAATAGTGGAAACTTTTTTCCGCAACTCCAATTTTGTTGTCCTCCTTCTCCTTCTCCTTCTCCTTCTCCTTCTCCTTCTTCTCCTTCTTCTCCTCCTCCTCGTCCTCCTCCTTCGCCTCCACCACCTCTGCCCCCACTTTCATGATCCCAGCTATAAGGTTCCAAAAAATTACTATTGGAATGCTGACCCCCCTAATTTTTTTAAAATAATTATTTTATTTGGGGTGGGTTTACTATTAGGCAGCCTACATTATAGCTTATTCATATGTGCAACTATCTAAGATTTAACAACTCCACCATGGACCAGTGGTTCCGACTCAAGGTGAACACCTGACTTCCTCCAAGACCTTCACTGCAGTGGTGGCCAGACTCACTTCACTCTTCGGGATGTCCATGGTGGATTGCCCTTTGGCTGGTGGGGTTCATGGCCTGTCTTTTTTTGTCGCCCCAAAAAAGATAGAACAGTTCAATCCCGAGAGGGTTGTGCCAAATTACGCGTCATGTCTATGTTTTTCCTTTTAAGGGTGCTCTAACCCGTATTCATATTTTCAAATTGGTATCATGTGCAGCATTCTGCGCTGATGAAGGGCCGCGTGGGGCAGTCTTCCGTTCTTTGTTTTTTTTTGAATGAAACTTCGCTTGAGGTTGGGTCAACGTCTACCGGCCTCTTGGTCACAGTATGTAAATATTATGTTGGTTCCAAATATGGTTCCATCCGTCGGACCTGTATTTTTTCTTTGCATGGATTTTGTAAGCATGGCTCATTGACATCTATAAGTACCTACGGGTACCTGTCACAAAAACACATAAGGTGCAGATGCTTTTTCTTGGTGGGTGTTGGCCACTTCGTCCAACTATCAGGAATGGTGGAGAAGAGAAGTCAGCTCATCATGACAACTACAAGGACTTAGAAAATTGGAACCCTTGGGACCCTTGAGGATTCGATATGTTTTCCCCAACGGCCCCATGGCATCATGGGCCATGATGGGTTTCTCGTGTCCACATTTTTTGGGGGCTACCGGAGGACCGGCGCCCAAAGCCCTGCGTGACCTTAGGGTTGAGCTTGGGCAGCCCCAGAGATATGCGACTCGTCAGCTGGCTCGGACTTTAGAATGACAGAAGTTTGTGGTTTTTATGACTCATTTAATACATGTTGCTGGCTTAGCATACCGTGATTTGATGTTTTACTGATTGGGGTATCATCAAGTCCCCTTGTCATTGCTTTAAGACCACCAGATCTGTTTTGTGCTTGAGCATTTCGGGCCCGCTAGGGATTTGTGTTTTTGAGGTGGAGTGGGTGGTTAGAATCAAGGTGATCACGGTTTGGGGGATGGGAAAAATAATCGTGTCAGGTAGGTGCGCTGTGAGTACCTTTTTTTGCAAACTTGATAACTTGATCTTGATGATGCTATCTCAAAATATGATTATAGAGAATTGTAGAGCCACATGTTCCAAACATCCTTAGTTGTTCCTTTCTTTGTTTGACACCAGATGCTTCGTTCGAGCTGATGCTTCGTTCACCATTTCGAAATCACTCGCCCAGGCTTTTCAGGGATAGGTGCCTTGCTTGCATTCAAGGACGGCAGGGATTGAGGCAGTGGTAAGGAGCAGAATATGTTTTTTCCTCGTTGAAATCAGCTGGTTGACGGACTGTTGAAGGCTTCCCAATTTAATCATGTTTTCCAGATTCATGATTTAGTTTACAAAATCGGAAATGAGGTTCAGTGGTGAAGAGTTTCGCGTGGAGCAGCGGAATGGATCTTTGGATACACATCATAGACGGCGAGTGACGGTTCGCTGGGCTGATTGAAGGGGAAAGCAGCATGACATGAAAATTGGTGTCCCAGTTGTACCTATAGATCAACTTGGAGAGAGATTTAGTTGTATGTTTGTGTGCGTGCATGTGCAAACGGGAAAAACAAACATCCTGAAACTTATTCAAGGAATGACGGTTGAATTGAATGGTATACCACTGCAAGGGAATGGCAGCCAGGTTGTTATCCAGTTGCTCAGGAGATGTTTTCGCTTTTGACTCCACCTTCAACAATCTCTTCAGCCATGCCATTCCTGTAGCCGAAGATGCTCGGTCATGCCCAGGTGTTCAATGGCTCGCCCAAGTTTGTGTTGTACAGGGCAAGATGTTTGCAAAAACTGTCTCTGAGAAAAGGAAGACCGGAATGCATTTTGAGTTTCCATAACATGCAGAAAAGCGTGGAGATGTTGTGGGACCACTGCCCAATCTCACCTTTCTGTCCTTCCGACCCAGGGCGACTCTAGCCTGCGCTTGTCTATTATCATTTGGGCCACGGCTGGTGATGACTTAGCTGTCCCTACTGTCACACGGAAAGGAGCAGGATTCCCCAACCCAGAGGTGGTGAGCCTTGGTCGCAGCACGAAGTCATGAAGACTAACCCAAGGGATCTAATAATTGATGACGAGTTAGGATTAATGCCCCCCTTTCAGTAAAGCTGACTTAAGCTGACCTTGTCCCCAGATTTTTGGGCAATACTACAATCAATTAGGCGGCGTTTTCCTTCCTTAATAGTGGTGCGACCCCTAATTTGTCAATTGCGCGTTATTTGCTTTCACTTTGTAACTGGAAATTTATATATTTATACATATATATATATATACACACGGTTTTGAAGGTTAATTACTGACCCTTCCGCATCTCATCTCTATGTTGCTTCTTATTATTCTAGTGTTTCTTTCTGATGCTCATTCATCCTGCTGATGTTCGAACTTTTTGCTGCACATTTGATGTTTGCCGTCTCACGACTTCTTTGGCCATGAGCAGCTGATGAATCCTCGGCCTTCTGATACTTCTCCAGGGCCTCCTTCTTGCCACATGCACCTGATCCCATTTGACCCTTCATGGGTGCTAATTCCAAACTGGGTTCGTCAAAATTGACCTCTCGTGGATGCTGCTTCGCAGCTAATTCCAATAGAATCGACCCCTCATGAAGGCTACTATGCAGCCAATTCCACTAGAATTGACACCTCACTGGTGCTTATATGCATCTAATTTCAGCAACATTCATTCATTCATCGTCAATTCGTGGAGGTTTATTAATTCCGAGTGTTGTTTGAGGGCCAACCTTCTTGACCTACAGGAGGAAGATGAAGGGGGGACCTTATCTGAGGGTGCCATGAATTAGAATCTAGTTCCCACTGGCTGCCTGGAGCGGCTAAGGAACTGGTCTGACTGGGATCTTGCAGATGGCCTGTGGTCTGATTCAAGTGCTTTAGCCAGCTAGCCAGCATTTTTGGCGTGGGTCCAGCAGCAAGAACACCTGCTCCTTCAAGTGGCCATTGTCTCACCACCGTTTCGGGCTCCAATAATGCCCCAAAGTTGAGCTGTCTCCGCAAGACAAGCAGATAACATCAGACAACTGGGTAAACCTTGGTTTGATAGGTTCATGGCTTGAGTTTTGTAATTAGCCATGCACGGAGGCATCATGTCACAGAAGCTGATTTGTTGCAATACCTCTGTGTAGGGTCCCTAAGGCTAGCCATAAGATGGCTCCGTATCGTTTTTGGATGTTTTTGGGATCAGGCCTTGTCCTCTCACCTCTTGTTGGATCAGTTTTTGTTTGCAGGCACGCATGCTTACCGTGCCTATGTATAATGTGCATACTGAAATGTACCACATGTTTTAATGTTTAACCTGATGATGCTTGCAGTGCTTGCAGATATTTCCAGATGAAATAACCGCGAACAAATAGCATTATTCCTACGTACGGGAATCGGGAATCATATATAGTAGATTTAGTAGATGCAAATTACTTCAGGTCTTTCGGGACAGTGCAAAGTAGGATGAGTCGATAGAGCATTCCGGGTGTGGCGCCGTGACTGCAGGCCTATCATATTTTCCAATAGAACATGTTCAGGGCATTTTGAAGAAAAAATGAATGGATAGCAGTTAATTTTGCTTGGTCGCAGCCTCGCAGCCAGCGCCCGAGCGCGCACGCAGCAGAGGCAGCCACCCTGCGTGGGATAGCGGACCTGTTTGCGATCGTGGCCCGGGAAAAGGGGAGAAGACGCCCTGCGTTTCATTTAGAAGGGTCCCCAGCCCCCTCATCTTCCATTCAGAGAAGGTTACCGTATCATCATCTCTTGAGCTTGGCGGATAGGTCATGTAGGTGCGCAGTTATCCGTCTTAGGAGTGATCAGAGAGATAGAGAAGTGGTAAATTGAAAGTGTGCCAACCTTCGGGATGAGAATTCTGATTCCCAGGGCTAGAGCCAGGCGCGGGGGATTTGCACGGACTCTGTCGGCTCTTTTTTGGGATTGCAGGAGGGCATAAATAATTAGATGTTCCATGTTATTCTTCAAGATGCAATGGGGTTGCGTCTAGACATCCTGGTTGCAATGACTTGTCAATCCATTTCCGCTAGCTTTCCACTAGTTTCCCCCAATCCTGGTCTGCAGTGAAGATACATGTTGTCATGCAGACGAATTGGCGACCTGCAGGGATTGTTGTCTCCGTTTTATTTGAACAGCAAACTCAGCCATGGCCGTGACTCTGCAGACGCATCAGTTTGAAGCTAAGCTTAAGTGCCTTCGGTCGCATCCCACTAGCGACACATAATGGCAAGTCAGGGGTTGGTGAGTTGTCCTGATTAAACATCACCCAACTAGTTATTGGGAATATAATATATAATCTCCAACAGATACTTGAAGGTGATGTTCAAAATCCCCAAAAAGGGACATTTACCAACCCCTGCAAGTTGATGAATGTCTGACGATATCGTTTTTTGGGCTGATTGCTTTGTTCATTCTGATAGTTTTGCAAACATCACGGCCTGGGAAATGCGAGAGCTAGACAAAGCCAAGGAAGGCTATCCAAGAGGTGAAGCTGTTGCTTGAGGCTCAGAGCCTCAGCCGCGTTTATGGTTTTCCCATCACATGGTGTCACACCTGATAGGCAATCGTGAGCGGAATGGGATGAAATTGAGATAACCATGTTGGATCATTGTGGAATAGCAGGTGATGCATTGTTACCATGTTATCTTAACATGCATCATATATTATATCCAGCTGTGGCCATTTATTTATGGGATGTGTTTGTTGTTTTCTTGGCCAAGTGCATAATTGAGCCATTCTTCTCCGCAGTTGATTGACGCCCATGCAGACCAAACCAGGCCAGCGCAATGTCCTTCAATCCCAAGCCATTCTACATGAGCTTTAAGTGGGTGCAATTATGAATATACATATAACTTACATAACTGTGTACTTAAATAATGTGTATATATATATATACAATATACATATGGCGCGAAAAATGGGCCAACAAATATACCTGCATGATAAACAAATGAGTTCGCAGTTTTTCAATTCCGAAATGGCAATCCCAAAATGATGCAAGACCCCTGAGCTCCAAGGAAGACGGCGCGCTTGCCGTCGGCGCATCATCACTGCTATGAGGCGCCAAGTGTTCTGTGTAGTCCCAGGTAGAACTGGATAAAAATGGAGGCAAATATGACTGAGTTGGATTTATATGGCTTTATGACTGGGATATATTGCATAGAGTCTTCCCTCTTTAGCAGGATATCTAAAAATTGCATGGAGCAAAATAAATTACTTCTAAGTGGCAGCAACCCATCACTGTATGCATCCTCTTTTTTGGATCATTGAACTCGGATGCGAGCAGAGACCGACCAATAGTGGCGAGCAGAAGGCTTCCAGCTTGCGATTCCTGGAAAGATCATGCTGAGGGTACGATGCTGTGGTTCCATGTTAACATCACCTTTGCGGGGCATGTTCGGCAAAAATATACTGTGTATATGTCACATACGCACCTTTATATGAATTGAAGAAACCATATGTACACAGATGCGCTGTGGCATGGGCTCAGCCACCAGGACAAGTATCATTTGGTTGAACGAGTCACCCTCGTGACCTTGGCCTCACAACTGAACTGCCTCAGCACTTTGGGGCTGGGCATCTTGGCAGATTGATGTGGTGTCAGTGTTTGATCATTCGGCTAGTGTTTGGTGCCAATTCCTTTAGTTAAACTTTAATTGGTGCGCAGGCAAGTAGGTTTGACCCATGTTTGTGGGGTTGATTCACTGATGATTTTGGTGATTGATGATGGTGGCTGCTGCTATCGCTATTCATGATGTCGTTACTTTAGAGTCCTTGTGTGGCACAAATTAAGAGTGTTGTTGGCTTTGGCTATAAACACATGGTTTGTCTAACCCTTTCGGTTGACTTACATTTGTTCCTTGGCCCCCTTCTTGGGTTTTCTCCTCAGCCAAAGGTTGCATTGGTGGGCATTTTAAGTTTGGTGGTTGCATGTGTCCGTCACTGTCTCACAATGTTTGCTGCTTCTATCTCTATGGCCCTACGGTCCATGGCTGTTTGTTTCTGGCGGCTTCCTAAGGAAGGGATGTTCTGGCGCAAGCACGCCAGTGGGCGCAAAGTTCCCAAGTTTCCTTTCGCTTCAGGTCGCAGGTGCAGCCGTTGATGCGACGTGGGGCTGAAGAATCCTGAAATGTCATGAGGGCTACCAAACAAACACTGTAAACTTGGAGATACTGGGAACGATGTGGGATGATGATGATGATGGTGATGATGATGATGATGATGGTGATGGTGATGGTGATGCTGATGCTGATGATGATGATGATGGTGATGGTGATGGTGATGGTGATGATCCGACCTGGCCATGGGGTGAAACCACCAAGAATCGACTTCATGCTAATCGCACGTTGGAAATCACGGTTACGCAGAAGCTTGCTGCAAAATGCATGCAGCACTGCATCACATGCATGTGCCATCCTTTTAAGGTAGCCTTTTCCGACCAGTACACACCATGAGTGTGTGTGTAAATGAGCAAGGTCATGTGTTTAGCCTTCAAATATGCATCAGAAGGCCGAGCGAGTGTTTGTGACACATTGAATGTGTCGCAGGCCTAAGGGCCATGCCACTACCATTGCATTGACCTGCAGGAGAAATGCACTTTTCTGCGGGAAGAGACACGAAGAGTCGAAGATCCGACCAAGGTGGCTTGGCTCGGTGACTTCCAGATCGCTGACGTCCTGAATGTCATTTACCTGGTTTGTCTACAGTCCCCAATAGTCTATATTCAATTTATCCTTGCGAACGCTAGAGGAAATGAAGACGATGTAAGAATCAATCACTTCACAGCTGCGGGACACGCCGACCGTTGCTCTCAGGTTGTCAACGAAGTCTCAGTTGGTCACTTGGCAAGCGGCAATTTTCTTCTGGTCGTCAGCAACAGCTTGTGTTTGGTAGACTCGAGGCGGCTTGTCGATGGGCCTCACCAGCAAGACGGTCACCAAAGTGCCGGGGCCTTAGGATTCGCTTCCGGCAGTTAGATGAATCTCAGATGGGTGAAATAAGATGAACTAACTAGGGCTTTGGACATATGGCCAAGAAATAAGACTTATATAGACTTATATAACTGAAAAAAATGACAAGATAAAAGAGAGACGGAGAGAAGTCTTAATAAGTCTGATGTGTTTAGATATATATATATATAATATTGTGATATATTGTGTATGTAGCAAATAGTAAATCAGAGATACCCTAAAATTGCCTTGCAAAAAAGGAAAATAAGAATAACCAAATTCCATTAAACAAATATATAATAGTAACCCTGTCAGATTATGTTAAACCGCTGTCGTGTCACATCAGTATGTTTCCATGTGATGCGACCTGATGTGCATGCAATGGAATTTCGCTTGGGATTGCTTGGGATCATTTTTGCTGGTTCTTTGCATGTTTATAGTTGTTAGTCCTTTTCAGACCGAGGACATTGGATTTATGTGACACCAGAATCCAGGTGGTTTGGAAGACTTTGCCCTTGTTCTTTCAACGCTTTCAGAGTTGTGGTTTCCTTGCCCGCTATGGTTCCATCCTCCACCAAGGACAGAGTTTATTTGGAAGTTTGAAGTCAGTGACTTGGCAAGTTTCAGGGTGTTTGGAGGTGTACCCGCATTTCTATAGACCATATTCAACCATTACATCTGGATAACTTACAATGACCTCACTGTGACCTCACTGGAATCATAGTTAGTAAGGGGAATTATCCCCCTCTAGCCGGATTTCAGGTTCGGGAAATATTAATTACAATTTACCCAGAGTGCGTTCCCATTATAACCCCCTATTGACGGTGTTGTCTTAGTGCGATTGGCCGGAAATAATGTCCGTTTTGTGGCCCGCCCGTAGGGCCGTCGGTGCTGTGAGAGCCATTTGGGGCGTGTAGCTTTTTGAAGCTGTTGAAAGGCATCCAGACATATATAATTATATATATAATTACATATATATATAATATACTGTATACTGTATACATATGATAATTATGGGATAAACGCATGCCAACAATATATCGATATATATAATATTTTTTTGCAATTACAGAAGCATGCTTTATTTACTTTTTCTTGGTTTCATTACTGTTGTTGATTTAATTTTATCTGTCTACAGGGTGGTGGTCTCCAGACATGGTTGTCGCTTTGTAAACAGCATTCACCAGTTAAATATATCTAATTACCATAAACCATAGGTAACCTCGTTTGAGCCAACTAGGCTATCATTAAGCCCTAATTTGCGGTTAAATTCCCATGTTTGTTGCTTGTTCTCATGTTAAATCTATTCTTATCAGGTCAACCCAATTTTTTGTTGATCAAATCTACTCTAACAATCAACATCAATCAACCAATCAGCCGCTGTTGGCAGGTTACGAGCTGGAGCTCATCCGCGGCGTCGGGGCCGATGCCTCGGAGAAACGCCTCCTGCAGCGTCGCAACAGCAGCGAAGAGATTACCACGGGCGCCGAAGGGCGGAGCGTTGGGGCGGTTGGAGGGTTGGAGCCGGTTGCCAGTGATGGGATGTTGATGGATGTATATCATTATATGAGCTGAAAAAATACTGTACTGTCTTAATTTTAATATGTTAATGTAAATCATTGATGTCCATTTAAGTATGTTAGTATTGCCATGGTAGATGTAATGGAGTTATAGCTTTTGTAGTGATAAGTGATAGTTAATGATGATTGCACATTTTAATGGGCCACTATCACTACTAGTTACTAGTTACTGGTTTGGTAATATTTGATGATATCATATGTAATAATGTAATAGTTGATGGGCCAGTATACAGTAGGATATGTCATATTTAATGATTAATAAAACTTTGAGATTGTCCTGTAAATGTGTATATGTATATATATATATATACGTATATATATATATATTGGGGGTTTCCTACAATGGGGGTACCCCTAAATCATCAATTTTAATGAGATTTCTTTTGCTGTATAAACCGTCCATTTTTGGAGTACCCCCATTTATGGAAACACCCATAGAGGTGGATTTGTTTCATTGTGTATTTATATAATGTATCGTATTCAACTTGATGTTCACCTGGTGCAAGCAGGACTAAAGTTAGACTTGCACCTTGCCGCTTTGATATATCCAAAAGTAAATATATATTATGCAATAGGTTCACATTGAATGATATTGAATGCAATATCTATATAATGCTATGCCATGACGAGAGGGGGCTTTGCTGTTGGTGCTGGAGAGAGAGAGAGTGTGTGTGTGTGTAACGTGCAATAATCGAAACAATTATGTTGTTTACAAATGTTTTTATCAAATTAGGCACCAATAATTGATATATCAGTATACTCAGTATACGTATGAAATAGTTACATAATATATGTGCCGTTTGTACGTGCCGTGCACCTGCATATTTACAATTGGAGACCTTTCCAGACTCCTAAATCATGGTGATACTAGCAATTTTCAAGGTAGAGTCAGAAGAACACGTTCGACTTTGACATGAACATGCAAGATATATTTATGATATGATGGGAGTCTGTCACAAAACACCATTTTGTAATCTTAAAAACCAAACTTAGATGTGGAACAACCATGATTCTAGATCATTTTCCTCGGGAAACCGGAGGCACCTTATACCTTGTTCGCCAGGCAGCAAAGTGCTCCCGCACCCTGAGTCCAACATCGCGATTCGTAAGGAGGTAGCAGTTACCGGCCACCTGGAAGTGGTAAATCAAGGTAGATGTGGAAAAAACATATGGTATCCCTGTAGAAAAATGATCTATATATCTATATATGAATATATATATATATATATCTATATATTTTTTTTCTCCACAGTTTGCCCAGTTTCTAGGAGGGCAATAGACCATAGCAATCAGTAATGTTTTATTATCCCCAATCTTGATTCAACTATCAAATTAACATGTTAGGGACAACCTACATGTTCGCGTGTTTTTCTAATTGTTGTCGTAATATTTGCCAATTTGTATCCATGATGTGTACGGATTGGTGAATTTGTTTGTTTCAATGTGCCCCATCTCAAAATGCTAAAACCATACAGGAGGTATGAGCGGGTGATGTTCCGCAAAATAAAAACTAGTGAAACTGGGAAATAATTAATAACGTTTCATTTCCCAACAATGTGTTTTTGATTTGGTGTCCTGATGATTGTTTCTTCTGGCATACGTGCATGTAGTTTTGTTTGGGGGGGTAGGCAGTGCCTTTTATTCAACGGCGCTCCGGGTACGTGCGCGCTGGACATGTGATTAAAAAACATATATTTTTGAATTCCATGTAATAGTAATATATATAGTAATAGGTGCAGTGCATGCCATTAAACCTTTCAACTAATAGAAACTGATGTGTCTCATGTTTTGACCCTGCTTTGATTTTTCAGATGATTTATATTTGCTGGTTTTGGCCGCAGGCGAACATCACGTACCTCCTGCAGCACTTGGCGGAAGATCTTGCCACCCCGGTGTTTCAGATCGACCGTTCATCCAAGCACTGCAAAACGCCGCGACGCAACGCAGAGGTCGAGGACCTGGACATGAGCACAACCATTTTTTGAAACAGGTCTTTGGCATGTAGAGGTGTCCCTGAGATAATCTCCAATAAATGGATGTGGTGTATTATACCTGGGATATCTTGAGATCATAATTACTGATCATTACTATATCATTGTTCCATGAAGATCCACTAGATCCATCATGTTCCATGCCACAACTACAACGTTCCGATGACGCCCCAGGAGCTGCTTTCCTACCTGCAGACTTTAGCACCTTGGGTCACCTGGCAATGCGCAGAGATGCGCAAAGGCACTGAGCCAAGTTCCATGTAATGTTCTAATTCTACCTTCCCCATTCCCAATAGCCGTCCCTACTTTTGCCCGTTTTAGATGTAAAATCTTCAGAAAATGATGCGGGGGACCACCAACGCCTGAGAATAGCAAAGTGGACATCACTCAAGGAAATGCATGTTTTCTTCCCGTTGCAGATGATAGGTTAAATAGCAACGACAAGGAATCGAAAGAGGGAAAAAACTTCCACTAACATTGAATGGGCAAAATTCTCCAAGTTCCCTTTACATCTTTACAGAAACAAAACAACGCCTCTATTCCGAAAATGCGTAAAGTTCCAGGCAGGCATTTTTCATTGCAAAAGTTCTTGAACCTGTAGACAGGTCTGAAAACCGTTTCAAAACGTTTCAGCAAATTCAGAAGGATTCCACTTTCTAATGTGGTGAGACTGATGCCTGCGGTGAGAAAGATTCTTGGCATGAGAACGATTTCTGAGACCAGTGCGTTAGTTTTTGGACATCTTCCCGTCATTCTCAGCATGCGTGTCTATCTGCACATCCAGCCTACCTTTCCCTACCCTGTGTGGAACCCTACCGGCCCACTACGTCCAGGTTCTGTGTCGCGCGGTTTTTTTTTCTCAAAAATTTGAAGGGTAGGGTTTCAGAGAGAACGTTGCGAAACACTGAAAGGTATGCTTTAAGTCGCTACCTTCCCCATTCGCATTTTTTCCCCAACCCTTCAGATTTTCGCGAAAAAAAGTTCGCAGCAGTTGTTTCAGATTGTTTCACACACACCGACTGACATGCTGAGCACGATTCCAACAGCCAATGTGGTGAGAACGATCCCGTACACCAATGCGCTTGAGAACGATGAATGTCACGCGAACGATTCCTAACCCCAATGCGATGAGAACGATTCCAGAAACCAATGCGATGAGAACGATTCCAGAACCTCACGAGGTGAGAAACATGGCTGCTGTGAGAACGATTCCTTCGTCCAACGATAGTGAGACAGATTTCGAAACGGGCAACGAAGGCACAACCTGAGGAATTTCCATGGCCAGCAAAGCCCAAACTAAAGGCAATGATAGGTTAAAGAGCCCTTTTTATAGGTTTCAAATTGAATGAATTGAGTCCATCGAAAGTTTACTAAAATTTACTTACACCATACACCCCACTTGTGCAACAAAGTGCCTGCGGAGCATCACAACTCATACACCTGGATCAGCAAGGGCGTGCCAGTCAAACCATCTTTTTTTTTGTTTTGCATCGATTTCAGGACCTAGAGTAGGATCATTTTGAAGCATGCGAATGTCAGAAAAGAATGGGAGAGCCAATGTTAGAAATGTGGTAAATCCAATGGCAAACCATCTTCGAATTTTGTAAGAAATGGGTATTACCATGTATAACCATCAAAAACTACTAAAACTGAGGGTCAAGCATTTGGCTTATCACATTACTCGCCCAATGAGGGCCGAAGTTGAGGTTGTACAAGTTTGAAATTAGTTTTAGTATGTCTTAATTGCATATGTGATTTGTGGTCGATCCATGTTTATATCCCCCACGCGTGTTTTCAGCAAGTCTCATTGACCACCCGAGGTCAGCAAGGTGACACAGTACCTAGCTGAACTGCAGCAGAAAGTCGTCAAAGCAGCGACTGCAAACGTTTTTGGCGGCCATGTGTCTTGGTCCCCTCAGCTCTAGATAGCTGTAGTTTTTTTTTTCTTGGTGGATTTGGCAATACATGATGTGTACGTTAATATACATGCGTGCGGCATAATATAGTCGATATGCCCATGTCTTTGCAAGTTCGAGATGAAGGTTCTGGTGCCTTCTTTGCCGCTTTTCGTGAATGGCAGTGCTCAGGCCACAGACGCTTGACCATTGCGCAGGATTGCAAGGTTGCAGGGAACATTTCAAGCTGGTGTGTGTTTGATGAAAATACGGAGCAGGTAGAAGCAATTTCATTGCTAGAGAATGTTTGTCCGTTTGAATTTTCCAGGTAGACATGCTGGGTGAACCCCATGCTGAAGCCATGTTCCTGCAACTTAGGAACCTGCCGGGAGAAGCGATGCTTTGGTGTTGCTTTGCGGTGACGTGGGTTCTGACGCTGGTCCCGTGCTTTCTGCGGAAGACGCTTGGATGTCAATGTAAATCTCAGTATCTTCCAACTTTGGGAGGTGTGTGTCAAAACATGTTTATTCATTACCACAGTACAGTGTATAGAGCAGTGGTCCTTTTGTTTGCGAAAGATGTATATCAAGAACTCACTGTCAATACAGCTGAGGCATAGCTTGGTTGTCAGCGGTTGTCCTTTGCACTTTGCAAGAATTCTTTCCTCAGTAAACTTTGGCTCAAAGTGCCTTCAAGTGCACTACATCCCTGGTGGTCGATCATGGCATTGTCGTTACGTTGCTTGGCACAAGTCGCAAGCACTGCCATCTCCCAGGCAGCCAGCCCTCAAGCAGCACCCAAGACACCCAAAACACCGAAGACGCCCAAGACCCCCAGGACGCCATTGGCCAAAACCCCTCAGCGCCCTGAGCTTCCCCGCGCCGAATGCAGCCCGGTTCCAACACATGCCTTCTTCCCAGAGCGGAGGGCGCGAACTGGGCGGACAGTGCATTTTTCAGACGAATCTGATCCAAGCTCTCCGAAAACTGAGGCTTCAAGTCCGGATTGCCAAGTGCCAACCCCTTCCTTGGCACCTTGGAAGGCAGGTCCTGTTCTGTTGGGCCGCGCCCATTTGCAAGTCCCATCCACCAGTGGGGAGTTGGAACCCATGGATGCCGCTCACGCGGCACGAGAGGCTTTCCTAGCACGACAGGCTCGAAGATCCAGCCGCACCCACGACTTTGTGGTGTGAAGGTGGCCACAGATGCTCTATCCAAGGTGCCAAAGGGCGGAGTGTGTACAGCAAACCGCCAGGCGTGTCTAGATCATTGCGGAGGAATGCCCAGGTGTTGTAGTCAAGCACATCTTGCACAGGTGTTTTCAAAGCGCAAGAGGTAGAATTCAAGTGAGCAATGAGCCTCACCGGCAGATCAAACACTGATCATTCAATCCTTGTCAGATTCAAAACGACTCAACTTCAATCTTTCTTGGTGCGCCCCGGGTGCAGCAAGACACTTGGTGCGCTCCATGAGGGCAGACAGTTGAGCGTGAAACATGATGGAAAAATATAAATAGCCTTACGATTGCCTGGCCCATGCAAGCAGAATGGAGACGCCATTGTTGTCCATAAGAGTTATATCTTGCAAGGTTTGGAAAGATAGTGCCATATAGATCCATATAGAGTGCCTGAAGTCATTCTGCAGGACTGCAGGTAGGTGGTAAGAAAGACCCACATCAATCATCATCAATCCACATTATTATAGATTGCAGCATGTGGAAATGAGAATCACAAAGCTGCACAAACTTTAGATGATCTTAGCCTTTGGTGAGGATTGCAATTGATTGCTGGCTGAAGAAGCACGTCTATTGGCTGAAAAGCGATGCTTGGCAAAAACTTGTGCAAGGTTGCCGTCACGTATAAACACTTTCAAAATCTGTGATGTCCAAGTGTCATGCAGACTCATGTTTCTTGAATCTTCAATCATTGCGAGATGACGGTCTTGGAGCTGTTTCATAGATGTTCCATGATGTTCCCGAAGCATCCGGAAGCATATTGCAACATATTGCAAAATGCGCTTCCTCCGTTCTCCAATGTTGGAATCATAGTGTTTACTGCTCATTCCTGGCAGTTTTGGCTCAGAACAGTGGCAGCCAACCCGGCCCTGTGCAGAGCTGCAACCATGGCTGCTTTCACCGTCGTCCCAGGCCGCCTCACTGCAAAGTCTCCAGGCGTTAGCGTGCCACATCAGGCGGCTTGGATTGGTGTAGCGAAGGATGAAATGGGTGACATGACTGACATGACACCATGGCACCATGGCATTTTGATGCATTTTGAAGGAAACGCATGAACGACTTCGACCTGAATTCGATCTGATTTTACAGCCCAAACTGCTGTAAGTTCCTGATGCTTGTGGGTGCTATACACAGATACAAAGAGATATAAAGAGATATATTATTATTATCAGTATTATTATCGGTGTTGTATTATCATTATTATAATGTTGTCACTACTATGTAAATGTGTATGTATATATATATATGTATGTATGTGTGTATGTATGTATGTATGTGTATGGATATGTCCCGCTTTTCTAAAAAATTGGTTGGTTGATGGTGCCATGTTCTTGCCGCAAGCAGGTGGCTTTTTTTGACGCCCCGACCTCTGGAGCCTCTGCATCCCCAGCATCGCATCTTGGCCAACAGTACTTCTGAAGGTTGGCCTTTGAGACTACCCTCTGGTAAACTAACATAGCTATCCAAAATGGCCATTTATAGTTGATGTTCCCATTAAAAATGGCGATGTTCCATAGCTATGTTAAATTACCAGAGGGTAACCGAACTCCTGAACATTGAAATCAACATAATTTGAGAATAATTCCTGAACATGTGATGGCAGAACAGGTATTGTTCCAGAACAATGTTGGCCTTTGTTGTTTTCAAATTGGCAAATCCCAAATCAGCGTTATATAATATAGATTTTCAGGTCTTCAGGGCCGCATGCGCATAACTACACACCAGTACATGCAACATCATACACTCCAGTTCGCTATTCCATTTCCACATCCATCCATCCTATCACAGGATTGTTTTCATTAACATCCGTGAGCATACATGAGCCATATATTCCAGTAAAAAGCGGTTTCCATGACCCATGGCTGGCTGGTGGTATTTGGGATGGTGAAGGCGGATGAAGGCAGTTGATGTTGTTTTCTTGCAGATCAGTTGAAACTTCAAATAAAGATAACAACAATCGAAATAGTAGCAAACGAAATAGCGATAAGACAACAATAAGCTAGGACATATACTGTTCCAAAACAATGGACTCCGTGAAACAAAAGAATTGACTCTGTGAAACATTCAATTATAGGTTTTCCATTTCATATTTAAATGCCAATATATAATTAGTAGTTATAGTTGTAACATAGTAGCTATATACTTCATAACCATAGTATCGTAAAATATCCCAACCAAGAAAAAAAAACATATCCCAATAGTCAATATCCATCAATATCCAAACATATCCCAACCATATGACCATAATATATAGATCTTACAGCTTGAACCAATGGATAGTCCTGGTATGTCCTGTTTCAGGACCCGGTTCCTGCAGCTGGGTGCCAGCTCCGTGGCTTTGGCCGCGCTCTCGGGGCGAAGCCGGAGCCGGCACAGCCGCGCGGCGCGACGGGCACAGCCCGCTAGCTTGGAGGAGAAGAGGTGCGATGGGGGATCCCTGATCGGGTTTGTCTGAAAGTCTGCACACGTATACACATAGATAGATAGATAGATAGATAGATAGATAGATAGATAGATAGATAGATAGATCGATATATATATATATATATGCACTTTAAAACAATAAATAGATAAATATGTATATATATATATATATGTGTGTGTGTCTATTCACATGCATTTGCATATATATATATGGATAGATAGATGCATTTGCACATATATATATATATATAAATCCCCACCTAAAATTGAGTTTGTCGTTGTGTGCAAATTGTGCAAATTGTGCAAATGATGATTCAGCAATAAATTTTGGGGGGTACCTCATGTTCAGACAAACCACATGTTGTTTAAAATATCTTGACATCAATTGGGTATAGTAAACTTACTAGGACGCTATTTTTTTTGGAAGAGTCAGTGGATCTCTCTTTTGGATTCTTTAAAGTGCTTATATCAATGGGCGGACTCCACCCATTGTGGGGGATACTTAGATGGAATTCAGTGCTGGAAGCTGCGAAAATGCACAGTATCGCATGTGAGTGTATATTCTATGCAGTGGCTATGTTGGCAACAGGCAACGTGCTATTAAACTGCACAAGTGCTGTTGTTACACTGACTCATTGTCACCTTCGCTCAGTAGTTCAAATTCTGACGTTTCCAGTCCTTGGTTTTTATACCATACATATATGCATATATACATAATTATATATAGCAATTATATATATGCCATATAAACCATATATACCCAAAGTTGCAGGCCGCAGTTGATCGTACCCGAGGTTCCCCGTGCTGTCGCGCCGCGATGCGCCCGTGGGCACCTTCCCCAAGATGCCGGAGTCAGTCCATCCCGGGGTGGTTTCTGGGAAGGCCCTGGTGGATTTGCTGCAGCTGGGATGGAATGGACGTTGATCAAGCTGGTTTTGGTTTGGAGATTCACTAGGGTTTTTTGGGGTTGTGATATCTCAATATATCAATCATCTACCATCATATACCTATATTGACCTATATTTGATCAGTAAGTTTGGTGGATGTACATGCATGCATACATACCTGCATGCCTGCATACATGCATACATGCATCCATGCATCCATGCATAAATGCATACATCCATACATGCATACATGCATACATGCATGCATACATACCTGCATACCTGCATACATGCATCCATGCATCCATGCATAAATGCATGCATCCATACATGCATACATGCATACATGTATCCATGCATAAATGCATACATGCATGCATGCATGCATGCATCCATGCATAAATGCATACATCCATACATGCATGCATGCATACATGTATCCATGCATAAATGCATACATGCATACATGCATGCATGCATCCATGCATAAATGCATACGTCCATACATGCATACATGCATACATGTATCCATGCATAAATGCATACATGCATACATGCATGCATGCATCCATGCATAAATGCATACATCCATACATGCATACATGCATACATGTATCCATGCATAAATGCATACATGCATACATGCATGCATGCATCCATGCATAAATGCATACATGCATACATGCATACATGTATCCATGCATAAATGCATACATGCATGCATGCATCCATGCACAAATGCATACATCCATACATGCATACATGCATACATGTGTCCATGCATAAATGCATACATGCATACATGCATACATGCATCCATGCATAAATGCATACATGCATACATGCATCCATGCATAAATGCATACATCCATACATGCATACATGCATGCATGCATCCATGCATAAATGCATACATCCATACATGCATACATGCATACATGAATTGATTGCATACATACACTGATTTGTTTAGATGTTTATAAATATATATATATATATATCGTTGTATGACAGTACATCTTTGGATAGGGTTATTTGGAGGGTGCTATCTTGTAGGTCGTATTAGATCCTGAAGATGCGATGGTGGCCCCCTCATGGCAAATGTTTGGTGGTTTTCTCAGGAGTTCTGTTGGGGTTATTTTGGGAACAGGCTTGTTGAATGGTTTGACGTCTCTGAATGCCTGTGTTTAGTTTGACCATTTGCTATCCCAGAAGGCCTTGATAATGGAACAAGTAACGAGTATCATGAATAAGATTAAATAAGTATATATGCATGGTTATACATGCAGTATATATAATATATAAATAAATGTATATATATATATACATAAGAAATAACCCAAACCAAGAGATAGCCCTCCCCAGCCACTTCACCTCCTGATGTCATGTCGCTATTCTGTTCATCCAGGAACCACGCCAAAGAGAACGGCTATGCCATTCCAGCGGTCAACTGCGTTAGCAGCTCCTCCATCAACGCTTGCATTGAGGCTGCGAATGGGTTGGGGTTTGCCAGTTGGGTTTGTCTGAAAATGGGGCTAATGATTTACACTGTCACTGAATCACCATATATCATCATGTTGAAATTTCAGCAATAAACAGAAGGCCAGTTTGGGGGTAGGCATAAATTTCGGGGGTGGTGGTTAGCCAGAAAATCTCCCAGATCTCTCAGTTAAGTTCTCCTGGGATTTGTTTGTTGTTTTTGTTTTATGGTTTTAACCATATTTAACTCAATGTTTCAGCATGTTTGGTGGCCACTTGGTTGATCTTGGTTCATGTTGCTTCCCCATGTCTGTTTCACCATCCAGCCGAGGCTGCGCGCAAGATGGATGCCCCCATCATGATCCAATTCTCCGCTGGCGGAGCCCAATTCTATGCTGGGAAGGGCTTGGACACCTGGCGTCCGCAGGTGGCGTTGTTTGTTGGTTCCTAGCTGTACCAGAAAGGTAGACCATTGGAGGCCTCGGCAGAAAAGTGGCCCTTTCAATTGGAGCAAATGTTAGACATGATCCCCTTGTGCGTTTTAGCACAGTACACGGCTTTGTTAAAAGGCATGCGTCTCCAAGCTCTTAATTAGAAGTGGAACAAACACAGCAAGGTGATCATGAGTTTTGCTGACATATTTTGCTTCAGAATTGGGGGTTGCATGTTTTGCAGTGTTGGTTTATTTTGGAAGAGTTGGAACAGAAAAACCTTCAATGAGTGTTAGAGCACATTTGGTCCACAATACTCATTGACCACAAACCAGGTTATGTTCAGGTGTTGAATCCAGGGATTTCCTCAAATATGTCTCAACACCAACCCATGTTATTTTAATTTCTGAATTTGATCCATAATACAATATATATTATATAATTATATATTTATAATTATATATATATATTTAAATAATTATATATAATTATAAATATAGATATGACACACACACATATATATATATATACGCAAGAAGAAAAAACAAGAATATCACATATAAACAAAAAACGGAGATGAAGAACACATCTAACAACACCTGATTTCCTGGTGTTTTCCCACCATGTCCCCTGACAACCTCCACCAGGACAACACCGAGTTCCACGCTGCCATCGCCGGCGCGGTGGCTGGAGCATACCACGCGCGCGCCGTGGCGGAACAGTATGGTGTTCCAGTGATTCTGCACACGGATCACTGTGCGAAGCTTCTTGGACCCAAAAAACGTGGAGAAAATTGTAGAAAACCAACGAATTTCAAGGGAAGACATCAGGTTTAAGGGAAAGCATCCAATTTTGGGAAACAATTTTGGGAGTGTTTAATGTAGACACCATGCATTCAATGATTTTAATTTCACTGGAGAACCATCAAATTTGGAGTAAACAGTTCAAAAAAATCAAAATTTGATCCATCTTTGGGACTATGCACCCTAAAAACGAAGGGTTTCTTGCTAGACATGAATAATATGACCAGTGATTGTGCAAACCATCTTTGAGTGCGAAAAATATGTAACGGTATGTTTGACAATTACTGCGTGACGGGCGGTAGTTTTTGAAAGAAGTATGGATCAAAAAAGTATGCCGTCCAAAATGGCCGGCACTACTGAACATGAATAGCATGTATGACCAATCCTTCTGCGAAGCCTTATGGTTTGGCTGTGAGTACCAACATGAATCAAAGCATCTTGGCACTTGCTTTTTTTGGGTTCCATGTCAACTCACTGTTGTGATCTTCAAATATGGCCTAGCAATAACGAATAGTAAATAGTGGATGACGATGAGTGATCCAAGCCAAACTCACGAGCACAAAGCCAAGCTAAAGTCAACAACGATGACACTAATATGTCAAACCTGTATATAAACCCAATCATCAAACACCCACTTTCAGGTGGAATTTCACTTATGTTGTATTCCCAAACAATCTCTGGTACAACGCCGTCATTGGCGATGTGGTTTACTTTTTTTGGGGCAAGGTGCCACTGTGACCAGGAATCTTTTGCCGTGGTTCGATGGGCTCTTGGAGGCGGATGAGCGTTTCTGGGCGGTGAGGTGTCGGTCTTTTAGCAACGGGTCGACATGGTGACACTACAAGGGGCACTAAGGATGGGCCATTGAGACATGTTGTGACTATGGCACTCATTAATTTGGGACTGAGTCTTGACGCAAAACTGGCCGTTTCAAGACGTCCAATACGGTAGCAGCCGCTTCTTGATCCTTTTGGCAAGGACGCCGTCGATACATACGTGCTAACATTTCCACGGGATTCCCAGATACATCAGGTTCATCTATGTCTACAATTCAAAGGTGAGCCGCGACCATGAGGGAGCCATTTGATTATCCACAGTTTGTGAGCCGCAACCAGTGATGGGTCCCTAGCGAGTCTCAGGGGGTTAATAGGCCCATAACTCTCCGACATCGACCCAGGTTACTTCGAGCGTCACGGGGAGCCTCTTTTCTCTTCTCATATGCTGGACCTGTCTGAGGAGTGATCAGCTCCATCTTGTCTAAATCCTCCAAACGGATCCTAAAGGATCTTGCGAACGGATATGTATATATATATATATTATATATATATATGGAGGTTTCCTGAAATGGGCGGGTGCACCAAAATCCATGGTTTACAATGGAAAATCCCATTGATTTAGGAGCACCTCTATCTTAGGAGACCATTGTATATATTTATATATATATATATCATTATATATATATATATATTATATCATTATATATATATATACATCATTATATATATATACATACACATTTGTAGGTACACATGAAAACACCCATGACAGACTCCGCAGACTCAGACTCGTTGATTCTCAGAACATTTTTCACATGGAGCTTCCAATGCATCGCACATATGTATATATATATATATTATAAACGTGAAAGAAATGGAGGTTTCCTATACCCATTCTTTCAATCTTTCAGTTGTTTAGTATCCTTCCTTACGGGTCAACATGTTGCCACTTACTTGTTTGGCTCAAGCATGGCGAAAACAGGTTGCCGCCGCTGCCCCTTGGTGTCACCGTCTTTGTTTGAATCCTCTGTTGTTTTTGGGGTGTTGTTACTCAAATCAATTGGTTATCAGCCGCATTTGCTCTTGTTTGACCGTTTTTGGGGATTTCATTTCATATGCTGCCAGGTGCCTCAAACCTGGCACACATGTCGTTGCGTCGGCCGTGACCTGTGAATCTTTGTTGGTAAAAGGCTGGAACAGGAATCATGTCAGATCCAAACTCCTCATCCTTGAGCCTGTCATCCGAGTCCATCGATGTTAAGGGAGAGGTGCAGTCACAGTTCATTCATCTCGAAGCCGAAGTTCATCGGGACTCCAAAATCAGGAGGACGGCCGTCAAGAACAAAACAAGTTTCAACCGTGAATCAGCCTCGGATAGTTTCTCAAGTTATCAAGCGCTTGCCAAAGCCATCAGGTCATGAGCGTGCCATGTCACCAGTTCCTCTTGTGCATAGTTCCGCATCGGCCTCCCAACCTTCGACTTTCATTCCCCAAGAGTCTAGTGGTCAGCCTGATGCCCGGATCCATCATTCACAGACGGTCCAGTATCATGATCACCGCACTCAGCAAGTGAATGTTGGTGTTGATCCCATGGATTTTGCCACCATGGTCTCCGAGGCCAAGAGGGTTGTTCAGGAATCTGATGAAAGAATCAAGGGTTTGGAAGGCTTAGCTCAAGATGTGTACAGCCAGGCTTGTTCACGTATTCAGGAGTTGCTTGGTGTTGTTGAGAGCCTTCAGCTATCAAATCCAGGATTTCAAAATCAGATCCATCAATTAAATTCAGACGTGTTCAATGTTCGTGCTCAGTTGGAGCTTCAAATTACTCGGAATCACGAATTGGGTAGCAGAGTTGAATGCCCCGCCAACATACAAAGAGGGCGAAATTTCGCGACTGATGGATGAAATCCACCAGCTGAAGGATTTGGTCGACTCCCAGCGTTTGGTTTTGGATGAATCTCAAGCTCAGAACTTGTCCCTTCGTCAACGCTGTCAAGATATGGAGATGAGTTTGGCTGCACGAAGCGCCGCTCAACCAGTTGATCAAGTCAGGTCTGATGCTCCACCTCCGCCGGCCTTTTCAGCGCAATTGCTATCCATGATGGAAGCTTTGCAAGATCTTTCGACTCGTATGTCAGCGGTTGAAGATGCTCAAGAGATTCATGTCGATCAAGTTCAGAGCCGTAATAGCGCGGCAGTGTCTTTTCCGTTTCCGCCTTCTAATCATTCTAATCTTCCTCCAAGACCTCTTTCTTTTCCAGCACTTGCCGGATCAGGGGGGCCAGTGTTTCCATCAAATGATGGCGGAGATGGTTTTGACGATGAAGATGAAGAATTAGTTCGAGATCGCATGCCCCAAAGCTCTACCAGTCACAGGGATCTAGCTGAGAGGGACATTGTGGATGATCGTTCGCTTCGGTATGCCACAGCAGGTCCGGTTCCTTCCAGTGCTTCGGAATTCAGAGCTTGGAAAAACCAGTTGTTGCTGATCATGGCAAAGTTGGATATCAGTGATAGGGATTACTTAGCGCATTGGCTTTCCAAAGCTTATGAAGTGAATTCCGATGAAGCGATCAAGCATGATTCTGGTTGTGTTCCGCGTTTAGATCGTTGGTTGGCAGCCGAAATTTCAAAAGGTTGTGAAATGTGCCTGAGTTGCAGTTCGAGATCATGGGGTACATTGAAGGATGCACTCGAATTGGAAACCCTCCCAGGGGCAGATACTTGTTGCACATTGTTTCCAGGCATTTTGTCATTGATCGCAATCGTGGTTCGCTGCTTACTTCGCAATCAATTTTTCAAATAGGGCTTGATGGTTACAGTGCCAAGCATTTGCAAGAGTTTTCAGGTCGTGTCCTTCGCACTTTGAATAGTGTGCCGCGGGAAGATTGGCCATCTCAGCGCGTGATGGGTGAGTGGTTCTTTCATCAGTTGAGGCAAGTTCGCAAGTTGGAAAGGACCATCGATGAGATCAAGAGAAGCGATTCTCAGTCGCCACTCGATGATTTTGATCATCTTTGGAATAGGTTGCAGGAACTTGCTTGAAGAAAGAGAGGACATCAATGCGCAATCAATTAAAAACTTGTTGAAGTCCAGCTTGCCCAAGAAATTGCAGCCCGACAAGCCCACCAGTGCGCCTGCTGCCATCACTCCGTCGTCTGAATCGAAGACCTCCCCAAAAGGTAGCCAAGGGAAAGGGAAAAGCAATGACAGCAGAGCAAAAGGCCAAAACAGCGTGCATCTTCCATATTCCATAGGATGCCTGCCGGATGCGTCCATGGAGATAAATGCCAGTGTCTCCATGAGCCTGCTCCCTCACGTTCCTGAGGATCAGGGGGGTTTCATCCATCCAATTGTCAGCAAATCCCATGAAGTTTGTGCTGTGCCGAGCTTAGTTGGATAGGAGTGTTGTGGTTTGCCGATTCTCCTGGCTGCTTTTGGATTTTCTCGTGGAAGGCGTTCAGCTTCTTGTTTTCAGTGTCTTGTTTCTTCCAATTGCCGGTCGGTTCAATGAAGTTTGTGCTGTGCCGAGCCTAGTTGGATTGGAGTTTTGTGCTTTGCCGATCCTCTTTGCCGCTTTTGGATTTTTACCTGTCTCATTTGTCATCGTCTCATTTCAACATTTCGTCAAGGCCTCAGTGGTTGCATGGTCTTTAGACTTTATCTGCTAAGCAGCTTTCATCAAGTGCGTGCTTGTCGTTCTTCCGCTCTCACACTCGTCAGTCAATTGGGCGCCATGTCAATTTCAGCGTTAAGTCAATCCTAAGGATTTCAATCATGGAGGCAATTCATGAACTTCATTGTCTTCAAACTCGTTGACCCTGCTAAGCATTCAACGATTTAGGCTAAGCCTGTAAGGTTAAATCTGTCAATTTTGTCATTTCAATGGGCTTGTGCTTTGCCATCCTCCATTGGACTTGAGTGCATGATGTGCTAAGATGTCATTCGCCATTAGTTCTCAGGTGTCAAGCTTTTGCCATTTGTCACCACCCGGGTGTGGCAAGTCGCTGTAAGCACAGCATGGATGCGACCAAATCTCATCTGTGAACTTTTCATCCATTGGATTTTGGTGAGTCATTTCTTGTGGATATGTCATTGGACTCTCACTGTCTTATCTTCGAGTCTTGTGTTCGTGCCTAATGGAGGTTGGCTGCGACAGCGCCGCCCCTGCATCCGCGCATCGGTAATTCATACTTGCACGGCATCCGGTTGGATTTCATGCATTGATAATTAAACATCCCTTTAGGATCGCGTAGGATATTCGTCAGATTGCCTTAATCCTTTTCCGGCATAATGGTGATTGGCTGCTCCGGCGCCGCGCCAACATTCTTTTGGACTTCATGCATCCGTAATTAGATTGGATTGCATGCATCCGTAATTAAGCATCCGTTAGGTGCACGGATAGAAATTGCCAGGCATGGAAGATTTCTTAGTGGAATCATCACATCCCTTGCCTGGAATCATCAACCGAGCTGTGAGACACAGTAATTAGGCATCCGTCCGTAGGCCTGATCAACCTCGGTAGTATATTTGGTAGTATGCTATTTCATGTTTGACCCTGTACCGTTCATGATAAGGGGGGACTTGAAAGAAATGGAGGTTTCCCATACCATCCCATACCCATTCTTTCAGTTGTTTAGTATCCTTCCTTACGGGTCAACATGTTGCCACTTACTTGTTTGGCTCAAGCATGGCGAAAACAGGTTGCCGCCGCTGCCCCTTGGTGTCACCGTCTTTGTTTGAAGCCTCTGCTGTTTTTGCGGTGTTGTTGCTCAAATCAATTTATAATTGTACAATCGCATAAGATTGCGTACACATATGTATACCATATATAATTAATTACATGTATATGTGCCCTATACATTTTATACAGAATGATATACAAGCATAAATATGTGAACATATTTTTCACACTAGCACAAATACACGCCTCCTGGGGGGCTTCAACAAAGGTTGGGTGTTCACATCTTTCGACAGGAGCCTTTGGAAGAGAATGTTGAGATTTGCGTGAAGTACTTGGAGCGCATGGCCAAGATCAACTGCGGCCTTGCAACTGGGTTGAGATGGGGCCCTGGAACAGGGAACATCGGGAAGAGTGAGAGCTAGATGGTAACCTAAAGGGGTCAGCAGTGAAGTGAGGGTTGTTGAATTCTTTTTTTGTTCATTTATCTCTATCTCATGTCCCTTCTTTCATGTTCTTTGCTGACTATATATCAGTTCATCAGATCTGGATCCTCATGTCTAGAGCATAGCTATGTAATTGATTTGCACAAAACGAGAAACAAAACATGGTTCATTGATTCATGTTTTATCTTTAGTTGCTATTGGCCCATCCATTTGCCACTTCGTGGGTTCCCCATCCAGCTTACCCAGCCCCGTCGCGACTCGCCCTAAGGAGATGGAGTTGGGAATCACAGGTGGAGAAGAGGACGGGGTCAACAACGAAGACGCCAATCCTGAGGACCTCTACTCCAAACCCGAGGACCACCTGCGGGATGGGGAGGGGCGGTTCAGAAGACATGCGGAAACATGTTTTATGTTTGGAATGTTCAAGGGATGTTATATTTAATTCTACACGTAATATGTTCATATGATACGGGAATACACATGTGTATATATATATATATGTGTGTGCGTTTATTTATTTAATCGTTTATATATATAATATATTTATTCATTTATTAATTTATTGTTTATTGTTGATGTGTGCATATGTAATTATATATATACACACACAGGTATGTATATATATATGTAGGCACATGTACGGGCAACATGGATATGCGCCAACATTAGGGTGTTTGTAACCTCAAAGTGTGATCTTTGGAGCTTAAAGGCTCAATGATAAATAGGTTCATGGCTATTGATACATGGAAACTGACTGCACAGTCAAGTGGCCAAGTGTTGCTAATCGTTTCGGATGTTTTACCAATGTTTGTCCCTTTTTTTCGTTGGTTTGCAACGGATAAACCCAGAAATGACCAGCCATCCCATCTACCTGACGTCCTTCAGCAACTTATCTTGGCAGCTGAAAAAACATCGACCACCTATGTTTAATCCATTGTGTTTTAACATTTGGTTTTCACATCCCCCAAAATCAAAATGGGACACCTTTCCCAGGCAGCTTTGAGACTGCAGAGATTTTCTAATGCCATCTAATGCCATCCAATCCTGCAGAAAATTCCTTTCCCAGCCAGTTTGAAAACATTTTGAGATTCTCCAATGCCTTATTCACATGTTTGGAAATACCACCCAAATTCCATCAGAGATGACATATGTTTTTCAGCATTTTTCTCCATACTTCGCCATTCTCCAGGAAATCTACCAGGTCTACGATGCCTTGAGCAAAGTGCCCAACGGTTTCTTCACCATCGCTGCCGCCTTCGGCAACGTGCACGGCGTCTATCAGCCGGGCAACGTGAAGTTGGAGCCCACCATCCTGGACAAGGACCCCCGGTTAGCCATTGAAATAGTGGATTTACCCTGGTTTAGCCATTAAAAATGATGGATCTTTCCATAGTTATGTTAGTTTACCGGAGGGTAGTATATGGTAGTAATTCACTAATTTCTACTTAAATAATGGTTATTCGGAATAATTCATGAATTTGTGATATATAATTTGCAGATGTGTAGTTGTTTTTTGCCTCAATGCCAAATCGCACAAAGGATGGCATGGTGATACATAGTGATATTGTAAAAATAACAGGAAATGTACATACTAAAAACCATCTGAATCCAGTGGCAAGTTATGTTTTTTTTTTGATTGGTTATAGTTCGCCAGCTTCAGTCCAGGCCCAAAAGTTCATCTCGGAGAAGATTGGAGAACCAGAGGGTTCAAAGTCGCTTGGATGTCACCGTCAGCGAAGAGTTTGAATCTGACATAGCGATGAAAAATCACCATTTTAAAAGGTAAATTATCTATTATGAGTGGTCCATTTTCCATAGCCATAGCTATGTTAGATTACCAGAGGGTAAGGAGGTAAATACCTAGGTTTCCTGTAGGTTGTCCCTTCAACATGTTTAACCGATCCATCGTTTGAAGGGCCAATTTGAGCTGTTGAGTTGTTGCAGTCGGATAGGTCACGTTTGGGATGTCATGTTTAGAAACAACCGTCATCAAGAAGAGAACCAGACCTGCAGTCATTCCCCCGTCTATCCCTATTCGATCCTACAGACAGACGGTTCTGAGGCCCGTGAGCTTTGTGTTTCACGGTGGCAGCGGATCAGACATCAAGGACCAAGCTGTTTCACGTCAACTCCTGAGGGTTCCATGGTCTGTTTTTTATGTGTGCTGTGTACATGTATAAATATGACTGTAAATCCAAACTCATAGCCTCATAGCACTTCATTGCATTTTGCAAGGCACCTCAGCTGGGCGAGTTTACGATTATATACCAACATCTGTGGTGAAACTTGGGGCTGAATTTGGGTTTGCTCCCTTGAATGGGCTATGAACATGCACACTGTCATGGAAATAATTAAGGTGGTAAACCGTGGTAGCAATAACCCAGCAGCAATATCAAAATGATGTGCCCCCATGTTTTTTGTTGACAGATTTCTGTCAGGACATCCGTGAGGCTGTGGACTATGGCGTCATCAAGATGAACATCGACACGGACACGCAATGGTCCTACTGGAACGGTATCCGAGACTTTGAGGCCAAGTACCGCGACTACCTGCAGAAACTTGGTCCATTTAGCAAGCTTGCGAGGTTAAATAGGTTAAGGATGGTTGAGGATGATGAAGGAGCTATATTTGTTGGCCATCAATGGGAAAATTGGGTGAAAACCAGCTGAAAATCTGAAACAAACATGTCTCCAAGTGGTTGGGAACCCATCACTTGGCGTTGGAGATTCTACGAGATTCTTGGCGAAAGATTGGAATGACCGGTGTGATGAACAGATATGAATATTGTGCCAATTCCTTTGGCAATAGTAATAGTCATATTGACACTATAGCAACTATAGTCAGTGGTTCATGTTGACAACAGGCTGCCAGAAGGATATGGACATACACAAGTCAGAGCCTCGTGCTCATGCTCCAAGTTGAAACGTACCTCTCTAGGTCTTATATCTTCTTTTGTCACATGCTTGGTATCTTATGATATTTGTTTGGCACTGCGGTACTTTTGATGCTTGATACTTTGAAACTTTGAGATGATGATCCTGGTGCTCCCATGGCACCTTTCTGCTCAGGACGCAGATTGGCAACCCGGATGGCAAGGACAAGCCCAACAAGAAGTACTACGACCCCCGGGCCTGCATCCGCTCCGCGGAGGATTCCACAGTGAAACGCATGGAGCAGTGCTTCGAGGATCTCCGATGTGTGAACGTTCTGGGGCTGGGACCTCCTGACTCATGGCGGCAGGTTGGAAAGATCAGACTTTTGGCGTCCGGCGCTATTCGTTTCCCATTCGGGTTTGAGTCCGGTGATCCGCAACCACCAGCACTAAGGATACGCCCAAGAACGTCATGGGCCCACGCCGCGGCGGACTTCCATCCTAGGCGCCCACCGTGACTCCAGGCATTGTACAGACACACGTGGCCCAAGTGGGCCATCGTTTGGTACAACGACAACGTCCACAAGGCGTTTTTATGTAGACAAATTGCCACTCCCTGGAAAGCTGGAAACGCATTATAGGTATAAGTATGCATATATAATCATATATATATGTATACAATAATGTATGAATACATGCGCTGTCATATATCAGCTCCGAGAGAAGCGATCAACTTCTGCTGAGAAATTTTAACAACAACAAACCATGTGACTTGGTAAGGTGAACCGAGAGTGAACTGGTGTGTGCTGCTCGCGCACCTGAATCTATGCGAGTTGTTCGGGGAGTAATTTTCCATCATGGTGAAACATCAAGACCCTTCTTGGTTGCTTTTTCGGAGAAAAAAAACGCGTCTCCCTGCAGGGCAATGCCAATTAAGTGCCACATTTGAACCAAGGCTATTTACTATACACAAGGGCTCCAAAAGGGATGTTTAGTCCGTGTGCCCCAAGGCCTATGTTGAGCAAAACCCTTGAAATTTGACATTGAACTCCAAATTGCCATCAATGAATCAACAATCAATGGGCAACCCCTGCAAATGATTTGGTCCAAGGCAGATATGCAGGTCATCTTAGGGCTAAGATGGCTGCCCTTCGGCCCAAAACTACACATTTGGGGCAATCGCACAGCTTCCCCTAGGACGGAATATTGCTGAAGCAGTTCCAGATCAAGGCGCGGTGTGTCCTGTGGTGACCTGGGCGCCAGACCAGGTTGTAGCTGCAGCCATGGTATAAGGTGGTGCACAAGCGCAAGTTTCACTTCACGTTTTATCATGTTTTCTTCAGTGATAATTCATTTTCTGGATAGCACCATGAGAGTACATGTGTATTTAGAAGTTGTGTTTTTGTTCATCTCATTTATATCCCATTTAGACGGGGCTTTTTGATGCATTTTGTAGCCCAGCATCCCCAGGTGTCTATACGCCTGCCGAAGCGTATTTGGGAGTTTGCCTCGGACACTGCAATGCCTCTAGGCATGACCTGGGAGCACCCAAATCACCGGTTAATAGGAAAAATGATGATCACATATCACTGTCATTCTTATACACATTATACACTTTACCCATTATATTAATTTTATTTGTTTACATCGCAATTATATCCTAATCATTATATCCCATTATATATTATTTATATATCCCAACTACTTTTGGGACATTTGGGGACGGTACCGAGCATGATATTGGGATATCATTTGCCCTGATGCAACATGAGAAGAGCAACATTTACTCACCATCATGGCATGGTGTATCAATGATGTTCGTTTGTATACTTGGATGATGTTTTTTCGTCTCTCGGCCAGTGAAACCGCCAGAACAGTCATAGTAGATCGTTGAAGATGTGCTGCTTGCAGAGCCATTGGAACATTTTGTTTCCACACGGGGCAATGATGTTGGTATGTGATTAAAGTGAAAAATAGATCCAAAAAGTACTTCCTTTGTCCCTCGGGTGAGGATGTGCACGCACGCATACATGATATCTGTGTGTATATATATATACTGTCATATATATATAATTATAGTATGTATACATTTCGCTAGTTCAGCCCCAAAATCCCAGGATGTGTTGATGCACTGGAGCGAATCCATGAGTTATGTGGAGCAGCTGCTGAGAGATCAATTGGTGGCGGCCATTGGGAAGGCCAGGTCTGGATCAAAACAAAGCAGATGATCTCCATAGCTTGGGATGTGGGGCCCCTAGCAAGTGCGTATGTATATATTATATTATGTATATATTATATTATGTATAAATTGTATATTTTATATGTTGTCATGTATATATATATATGTATGTATATGTATTAAAAATATGTTATATTTCAGAATATATGTTATATACATAATGTTATATATCCATTTTCACCTAGAACAGCACCCACAAGTACGGGTCCCAAATTTAACCCATGCCAGATGCTCTTGGTGTCAGGAAGTGACTCCCGCTGAGTTTGCGGCTTACATGCAGTTTCACTACAGGAGCCTTACAACAAGAAGCATATGTCTGGTGCTTTTCATTGCTGTTTGCCGTGCCAGGCGTTTCGGACATGTTCAACCAGTAAAGTTTTGGACCTGCCTTTTGGATCCTTTTTTTTCCAGGCTCCCGGCCACCTCAGGAAACTCTTCCAAGAGGCCTACGCTCCCTCGCCCTTCAGTTTTGCCGTGCGCCGCTCCTCACAGCATTCACCGGAGGGGGCCATTTCGGTGGAGGAGTCACAAACGGCGATGCAGAGTCCGGCCATTGGACTGCAAGAAAACCTCTGGGGTTGTCTGAAAAATTCTGAAAATAGGGAGAATATGGGGGATTTACTCTATTTTCCATGGTTTATCATCATTGTTATTTGAGTATACCGTACCATGGTATAGCCCCATTTTCAGATACGCTCATCCGGGAGTAGGATGGCATTTACCATGGCATCTACGGTCTAAAATTTGGGGCCTCACTGGGCGACCTCACCATAGCTATCCTTCCATGGTAATATTGGGGTTGCCCAAGACCCGTACCCAGTATCCATTTCATGATGTGCTGGTGCTTCAAAGACAGGTTTATATACGGTCCCTCCGTAAGAAGTCACCAATTACTTAGGTTTCTACATTGAAAGTATTTATCCTCCTTTCTGCCAATTGTATAGCTAGATATTATTTTTTGCTGGTCATGGTTACAGTATATAGCATGTTTGTTGTTTGTTTGTTGGTTAGACACCCCTTTTTTCCTTCTCCATGGTCACAGCCACCCAGATCAGTACCTTGCTTGCGACTGGTTCGCCTCAAGCAATGAATTTTGAGCTGGATGCATGCACCACAGTATCTTTCACTTCCAACGTGCCCTCTGGCATGTTTTCACGCCTTCCTGGCATAGTGAAGCATAGTGCTTGAAGAATTTTAAGATATAAACTTCGTAAACTTGCCACGGGCATCCACGGGCCAGGTGCATTTGCACGCTTGTCTGGTGCATCAGCCCCTTGCCCAAGCGGCACCTCAAAAGATCGGGTGTTGGATGGTCACATCGCTGGGTTAAGCAGCAGCCAGCAGAAAATGTGGGTTTCCATAAATGGGTGGGTCCCCAAAATGGATGGTTTATAAATGTTTATAATGGAAAATCCATGAAGATCCTAACATGAAATTGATGATTGAAATTGATATGGCAATCCAAATCAAACCATATCCATCCAGACCCCATTGACCCACACTCCAACACTGAGGTTTTCAGGGCAAAGTGCAGCACAGCTGTCCCTGGTGTCCAGAGCGCGGCAGTTTAGCTCCTTCATTGACCCTCGTCCGCTTGGAAATATCCTGAAGGAAGGTATCATACATCCTCAACTCCAACATCAACATGCACTCGATTAATTATATTTAATTATAACATATTATGATATATTATGACTATATAACTTACAAGATTCTTACAGCCATCAGAGATATTAGGACCTTCACCCTTTCCCACGTTCTTATTTTTAAAATGGTCCTTTCATTCATCAGTTGCATTTGATTCATCAGTTGCAAGTGTCATCAATTATCATGTACTGTAGTGTATGTTGTTTTTGACCTTGCCATGAATCTGCGCCTTCTGCTCTAATCCGTTTGGCTACAGTATTGACCGAGGCGCGCTGAGAGTCTGTTCTCACCCGTAAGAATTCAGAAGCTCACATTTTACGTTTCACATAACTCCTCCCTTCGGACCACTGTCCGCGTTCAAGTTTCTCCGCATTGTTCCAGTTTTGTCAGCTGCGTTCGTATTATTCGGCAGACCAGGTGATGGTTGGGAGGGTGATCTCGGCCACATCCTTCGACCCAAAATTTGCCATGCTGCTGCAGAACAAGGACCTTGTGATCCTGGTGCCCGGCGATGAACATCCCAACTCTTCAACTTCAGTACCTTTACTTACTTTACTTCACAGTTCCAACATGTTCCAATCATTTTTCACATGTTTCCAGCCTGATGAGTTTTGTGGCGAGTATATGTTAAAATTGACCTGCACATCTACCTAGATTCTAGATGTTGGCTTAGTTTGCTAGGCTCCTGGTAAGCGGGACCCTACGTTCTCCCGTCTATGGGGAGGGTTGTAGTCGACTTTTACCAGGCTCGCGAAACATAGTTCATCTCTTCAGATCCGCAAGAGGTTCAAATGTCCACCCGTCCACCCTCCCAAAATCCGCAGCGTGAAGGATGAGTTGCAAATTCCGCTGGACTTATCTACCATCCCAACACCAAAGGAGTTCAAGGCTGGCCTGCAGGAAGTGGATCATCGGCAAACCGTTGGAAGTCCCGGCAAAAAAAATGGATAGAAAATTGGTGCAACTCCGAAATCCCACAAGTGTCCTATAGCTGTAATGGGCTGTAATGCCCTTGCTAATTTTGCTAGCCATGCACGTACTGACTTTGGGGGCTGTGAATGTGACGACAATGTAGACTTGTAGACTTACACGACTTACCTTGTGGGATCTGTAGTGAGGTATAGGGCCGCCCCAGGTCCCAGACCCAATCGTTTTGGCTTCAGGATGCCATTGAATCCTTGTCTCCAGAGCAGAGGGCTTTTGCCAAAGCTTTCCGGGCAATGCAACTGGAAAGCACGCTTTTTGGTATCCTGGTCCCTTGCCTTTGCCCACCACGACAGGAAGACATGCACTAGAGAAGTGGCCTTGTGCTGCACGATCCGGATCAGCCGACTTACCAAACTGCTTCTTCCGAGCATGCCTTCTGTTTCAGACATGAGACATGAAGTCCAGTCAGAAAAGCTCAGCCTCCTGCGAATGCTAGGGATGCCAGATGATGCTCAGACTATAGACATGTCCTGATTTGTTGATTGATTGTGTGAAGCGCTTCTCCCTTCAGTCATGATTCTTTACCATCTTCACATCACAAGTGTCTTGCCGCTAATAATTAACACCCATTGCCCCACTGCTGTGTACCATATGGCATTGTATCCCAGGTTATCCAAGTGAAACCACAACTGGAGCAGCTCTTGAAGCTTCCAGATGATAGTCTCACCAAGGACGGCCGAAAGGGGGGTTGAATCCTGAATCCATACCATCCAGGGGGTGCGCGTAGGTTTATTTCACTTATTTATTGAAATATAGCTTCACTACTGTCCACTCACTATTTTGGTTTATTTGGAGGCCAAGTGATGAATGTACAAGCGACATGCATGATGCAAATGTGTCATTGACTGCTGGTTGCGATGTTGCAAATTATGTGTTCTTTGAATTATATGCTGAAAGACCGAGTTGAACACCACCAGCAAAACGGCATGTGCCAATGTGTTCCTGTGCTCTCCTAGCTACCCGGTAATCAAACTTGGCGATGTAAAATCCACCATTTAGATCATAGCTATGTATAGCTGATGTTTTCCAATTGTGTACCATTTATATAAATGTCCATGTATAATTCATGTGTGTATATTTATATATATATATATACACACACACATATTTATATATATATATATATATATATATCGGGGGGATTTCCCATGGATGACACCGGATCTGGACAAGCCACATGCGCCTCGATGAGGAGATCAAATTGACGCAAGATCTCATGCAGCCACTTGGAAGGGGCACATGGTACATGGAGCGGCTGAAATCCATGATGCTTTTATGGCTGTGGTGCTCTTTGGCGCATATCATATATATAACTGCGTACATACATATATAATTATATAGAGATTTACACACATACATGGCATATATACTTGTAAGACCGTTAAGACTCCCAAATTGTGGTGTTTTATATTGGTAAAACCCAGGAATGAACGCTTGCCAGGGGGCCATATCATGCCTACGTTTGCCATGTTGATCCATATTTATACGTTCCTGTCTTTTTTTCCCATTGCCCGGTGTGTTTACCATGTTGGGCAAATCTGTGCGGCTTTGGCGAGAAATTGGTGTCTCGAGGCTCTTCATCAGGTACCAAATCCCCAGCGATTTGTTATCATTCTCAGATGATTTGCTCCTGCCTGGGGAGTCAGCAACACCTGAGAAGCAGTTGCAGTTGGTGAAGGGACAAGTGGAGGCACTTTTCTTGGTGGACGGATCGGGGGTGATTAACAGTGATTAACCCTCTGAAGTTTCAACCTGGCAATGCAAAATCCTCTACATTACTGTTCCTCTTTTTTTGAATACTACGTTATTACCATTGTTATTATTGTTAGCATTACTATTCCTATTATTGGTAGGTGTTTTTTGTTGAACATTTGGATTTGACAAGCTTGACGCGCTTGGGCATGAGGGAAACATCAGCCCCCGTTCCGAAGTGGTAGGCCATGCAGAACATGATCGAAATCGCGCCACCTGTCCAGATGTGGGATGATCCTGAACTTTCACAAAGCTCTTTATATATATAATATATAATTTATTTATATATATATAATTTATATAATAGATAGTATAGTATACATTATATATTTATGCAATTATACACAGCATTTCGGAGCATCCCTGGGCCTGTTGACAAGGGCGAACTTTTGCGGGATTCCACGATTTCCGCCACCTGAGCATGCTTGGAACACCTTTCGTTCAAGTGGCGGTAACCAATATCGTGGATTGGCAATGTGTCTTCCAACATGAAAAACTGCTCACACAAGTTTTTTCTGGAATGCGCCCATGCGAGCTGTTATCAATTATTTCCCTTGGATAATAGTGAGCGGAAGCACCGTAGTCTCCAACCTATTGTAACCTATCTTTTGTAGCTTGATCCCCACACCAATTCACATTGACGCATTTCTTTTCCCATGCAAACGTTTGGGAAGCATGCCAGCCCGTGAATGAACATGGGCACAGTCTGGGCAAACCTTAGAGAGGCCCTGGAAAAAATATACACACCAATTTTATATATGCATATATATATATACATATCACATTTACATGTAATGCATGTAACGTGATGTAATGCAGTGTAATGTGATGCTATGTGGTGTGATGTGATATAGTGTAATGTAGTGTGATGTAGTGTAGCGTAGTGCAATGCAATGTAATGAACTGAAATGTAATGCAATGCAATGCAATGTGGTGCAATGTATGTGTATATATATATACAGATGCACGTGAATGTGCACACATATATATATATATATACATACGCGTTTGTGTGTGTGTGTTTGCAGATATTCTTTGGTGGCTTGAGAGCAACGTTTTGGAAGGTGACCCTTCTCCCTTCTTCTTTCACCATGCTTGCATTTTCGCGGAAAGATGTTTCAGAAAACATCAGGAACTCAGGAATTTGAAACAATGATTTCCCATTGATATTAAAAAAACACGTGTCATATATATATATATATATATCAATCAGTACCACGGTGTTCTTGAACAACATCCTTTATTTATGAATGTCAAAGCATATTCAGCTTCCATTTTCAATGGTGTCCGGCCCACGCCGAGGAAGGAAGCGGAGATCCAGGAGCGGCGCCAAGAGGAGCAACAACGGCGACTGGAAAAGAAACTCGAAAAGAAGGGCCGGCGCAGTGCCTCAGCGGATCATCCATGGCTGGTTTTTTTTTTTTCCCACCTGCCAGGTGAGGGTTGTTAGATTTTATCAGAGCTGTGCTTCTCCTCCTCGCTAGCTGTCCTCCACTGCCTCCTCCTCCTCCTCCGCCTTCTCCTCGTCCTCCTCCTCCTCCTTCTCCTCCTCCTCCGCCTCCTCCAGTTTCTCCTCCACCACCTCTGCCTCCACTTCCATGTCCACTTCCGCCTTGCCAACTTCCCAGCTCAGTGTGCACCGCTGGACCTCAACCTGCGAGCCGCCCAGCTCAGTGTGCACTGCTGGACCTCAACCTGGGAGCTGCCCAGCTCAGTGTGCACCGCTGGACCTCCACGGCCAGATAGAATGCCAGAAGATATGCCAGATGGAATGTCAGATAGAATGCCAGAAGATATGCCAGATAGTATGTCAGATAGAATGCCAGAAGATATGCCAGATAGAATGCCAGATACAATGTCAGATAGAATGCCAGAAGATATGCCAGATAAAGTGCCAGAATGTTTGCCAGATAGAATGCAAGAAGATTTGCCAGATAATATGCCAGAAGATATGCCAGATAGAATGCCAGATAGAAAGCCGGAAGATATGCCAGAACATATGCCAGAAGATATGCCAGGTAGAATGCCAGAAGATATGCCAGATAGAATGCCAGATAGAATGCCAGAAGGTATTCCAGATAAAATGCCAGAATGTTTGCCAGATAGAATGCCAGAAGATTTGCCAAATAATATGCCAGAAGATATGCCAGATAGAATGCCAGATAGAATGCCAGAAGATATGCCAGAAGATATGCCAGGTAGAATGCCAGAAGATATGCCAGATAGAATGCCAGAAGGTATGCCAGATAGAATGCCAGATAAAATGTCAGATAGAATGCCAGAAGATTTGCCAGTAACAAAATGTATAAATGTCATGGTGGGGATCACACGAAGTAAAGTAATTTCTTCTATGGATACTGCGGGTTTGTAGAAGTTTGTATGGTATAATGTGGCCATTAAAAGCACGAACCATTTGTTCGCTTTGCTCTTGATATCATTTGACCACTTCTTCCCAATCCGCTAAGCCATTTTGCATGATCATGGTACAGAGATGTACAGAGCATTTTGATACATTTGTACATCACAACTGCCGAGTGTAGCCTGGACATACATTAGTTCATTGTTTGTATATTGCCAGGCCAGGTGTAGCCAGCACCAGCAACCACTTTGTTAGTGAGCTCACCATCCTGTCAGACGAAGGCAAAGCTCAGCCTGATCCCCCCAGCATTGCGCCCGTGGAGAAGAAGAATGACAAGAAGCCTGCCAAGCGCAACCCCAGGCTGAAATTGACGGAGCAACTGGTGAATGGTAGGTGAACGACACATAATTCTTATTTAGTTCTGGAGCAATGGTCCAATAATGGGCCTAGGTAGGAGCAGTTACAAACCCATTAATACTGGGGCCAAATGGGATCCTGATGGAGTCAAATGCACAGGACATTAATTCACATGTATGTATGTAATGTTACGTTATGTGTGTATTGTATTGTAAGTAATGTTTTGTTATGTTAAGTTTTGTTATGTTATTTTATGTTATGTTATGTTAGGTTATGTTATGTTGTGCATGTATGTATGTATTGTAATGTAATGTACTGTAATGTAATGTAATGTTATGTTATGTTATGTATGTATGTACGTATGTTATGTTATTTTATGTTATGTATGTATGTATGTATGTATTGTAATGGAATGGAATGGAATGCAAAGCAATGCAATGCAAAGCAATGCAATGCAATGTAATGTTATGTTATGTTATGTAATGTTTGTATGTATGTATGTATGTATGTAATGGTATGTAATGGTATGTAATGGTATGTAATGGTATGCATGTATGTAATGTAATGTAATGTTATGTTAAGTTAAGTTATGATATGTTATGTATGTATGTATGTAATGTATGTATGTATGTATGTATGTATGTATGTATGTATGTATGTATGTATGTATGTAATGTATGTATGTATGTATGTATGTATGTATGTATGTATGTTATGTAATGTAATGTAATGTAATGTATGTATGTATGTATGTATGTATGTAATGTATGTAATGTATGTATGTATGTATGTATGTATGTATGTATGTATTTATGTATGTATGTATGTATGTAATGTTATGTAAGTTATGTTATGTAATGTTATGTAATGTTTTGCAATGTTTTGTAATGTTTTGTAATGTTTTGTAATGTTATGTAATGTTATGTAATGTTATGTATGTATGTAGGTATGTATGGTATGCAATGCAATGCAATGCAATGCAATGCAATGTAATGTAATGGTATGTAGTGGTATGTAGTGGTATGTAATGGTATGTAATGGTATGTAATGGCATGTAATGGTATGTAATGGTATGTAATGGTATGTAATGTTATGTATGTAATGTAATGTAATGTAATGCAATTTATTGTTATGTTATGTTATGTAATGTTATGTAATGTTATGTATGTATGTATGTAATGTATGTAGGTAGGTAGGTAGGTATGTATGTAGGTAGGTATGTATTTAGGTAGGTAGGTATGTATGTATGTATGTAGGTAGGTATGTATGTATGTAGATATGTATGTAAGTAGGTATGTATGTATGTAGGTAGGTAGGTACGTATGTATGTATATTTGTATGTGTGTTTATGCGTACTATGTTCTCAATTTGTGACCCAGCGAGTCAGCAAGGACAGAGAAGCGAAGCTGTATCTCATTATCCTTTCCCTCGCATATTAATACCCGGAATGAATTTTGGTTTAGTATTGGACATCAAAGTTCTTGTGGGCTCATTGAAATTAGGATGACATATTGTACCTTATCTATCTATCTATCGATCTATCTAACCTAAATCCAATCTTATCTTACTTCATTTCGGTTTATTTTGTCGTATCTTGTTTTATCTTATCCCATTTCCTCTTGTCTTATCTTAGTTTATCTTATATTCACTGTATCTGTACATTGCTGATCTTATTTTACCTGATCTTAGTTAATTATTTTTTGCCTGATCCTATTTATAATTATATCTATCTTATCTTATCCTATTTCTCCTATCATATCTATCTGTCCAACTATCGATCTGTCGATCTATCTATCTATCTATCTATCTATCTAACTATACAACCATCCATCCATATACATACATATACGTATACGTATACGTATACATATACGCATGCATGCAGGCATGCATGCATACATGCATGCATACATACATACATACACATATGCATATACACATATACATGTAACATGTACATATACATATACAAACACACATAGACACACATACATACACATACACACAGATACATGCACATACACACCTACATACACATACATACACACATACATACACACATACATGTACACATACACGCACACATACACATACACATACATATACACATACATACACACATACATACACACATACACATACATATACACACACATACATAGATACATACATACATACATACTTACATGCATACATACATACATACACACATACATACATACATACATACACGCACATACAGACAGACAGACAGACAGACAGACACACACACAGACATACATACATACATACATACATACATACATACATACACACATACACACATACATACACACACATACATACATACATACATACATACATACATACACACACACATACAGACAGACAGACAGACAGTCAGACAGACAGACAGACAGACATACATACATACACATACATACACACACATACATACACACATACATACACACATACACATACATATACACACACATACATAGATACATACATACATACATACTTACAAGCATACATACATACATACATACACACACATACATACATACATACATACATACATACACACACACATACAGACAGACAGACAGACAGTCAGACAGACAGACAGACATACATACATGCATGTCACACACAAAATATAGAAACACACACATATATATATATAACTATGTTTTTTTTGTATATACACATATATACGTACACTGTCACATGTATATATATTTATATATACACACATATATATATGTTTATTTATTTATATACACACGCATGCACATAATAATAAGAAACATCATATGGTGAAAAGTAAGAGGATGTAACACTAGTTTAAATACGTATAGTCAGTTCGTGAAGCGTTACAATTTCCAACCTAGTAAAAATAGTAATCACCACAACAATAAGGATGATGAAGAAGAAGATGATGATGATGATAGCCCATGTCCATCCGTGGGATTCCACGGCAGGGTAGCGAGGGGTCTTCTGGGCGGCTTCGGCAGCATGATGAAGGCCATGGTGGGTCGAGCGACGCCCGTGCCCAAGGCCGTGGCGGGGGCGTGGCAGCAGCTACGCAAGATCAACAAAGCAACAAACAATGGGCATTCAACTCATTTACCCTCTGGTAAACTAACATAATTATGGAAAATCACAATTTTTAGTGGGAAAACTCACTATAAAAGGCCATTTTCAATAGCTATGTTAAATTACCAGAGGGTAACCAAGAAAAGATGTGCTTTAAGCAACAAAAATGAAGAATCCAATCAACGACCATGAAAACAAGCTAAAATGGTATAAGACCACCATTTTTTTTACGGGATATTGGGGACACAGTTGGGTCGATATTTTGGATACAACCAACCAACAATGTTTGATCATGTGTTGGAAAACTTGTCATCTCCCAACCAAAAAAATATTAAAAAGTGATTGTATCGTGATAGATCACTGGATTGAGGGCACCCTCTTTTTGAGACAAACTCGATTTGTCTTGATGATCATGGTGATATTTGTTTGTTGATGAATCAAGCTGGCATTACTTTTCAGCATGATTACAGCAAAATTGTTGCCGAAAAAACAGTAATCATAAACAAAACAATGATGATTTCAAACTGCATGTGAATGCTTTTGATATGATTTCTATTGCGGTTTGCGATGATCATGATTAAAATGATGATGGTTGCGGTTGAGGTTTGATCATCAGAGAGTGCCAGAGACTTTCCCGATGCTCAACATAGACCCAATGGTGGCAATATACGACACTGCAACAGCAAAACAATTTTCAACACTAACATTGTGTTGTCCGGGTTCGAGGTGCCCCACATGGGTACTGTAACTATATAATTCTATTCAGTCCCAAAAAACATTTCCAACAAACCTGAGAGTGCGTTTGAAATGTTGATCCATAACCCACCCAAAAGTTCAGGGCTGCAGCTTCCAGGGTCATTTGCTGGAAAACGAAGCCATGGACGATCTCATGGATGATGGGATGGACGACATGGACTATGACGAGTATGGCCGTGACTGCGCAGACGAGGTTGGGATGCTGCTGGGATCATTCAAACCTGGAAATCTGGAAGCTGTCAAACATTTTTGTACCTTTGGTATCCTTTGGTAATCTGACACCTGGAACCTAAATTGGCGTTCCAGGCTTGACTACTGACATTCTTCGCAAAATGCAGTCACCATTCTTGGGACTGTTTGCAGCATTTGGCCTCATGAAACCATGAAACATTGACATTGAAAGATACCAAAACAGCGGGTCCTCCTTGCAAATGAGAAAACAAAAATGCTGGAACCATCTGGAACCTATTTTTCTTGATTTTTTTTAACCATACAGTCTATATATAATATATTTTTTTTTCATATGATATATGATATATTTCCCTCACCATCAAAACACATCAAAAACCTTGAAAGTACAATTGGATGCTGAGATGAATCTTTGCCTTGGGCGTTTCACTGTTTCCTCCACCGCAGGACTCCCAGGACGGCTCCCCGGCGGAGGCGGCTGACGCCGAAGGCGCCGCCGCTTCCGAAACGCTGGCGCCTGCGAAGGCTGCGCCGAAGGGGTCGCTTGCGCCGCCGCCACGGCCGTCGTTAACGACGGCCGTGGCGGCGCGGGATTACACACGTGACATGGCACAACTGGGATGATGGCGATGGGCGCAACCTCTACGGTTTTTGACGTGTTTTTTTAATATTGATTTTGGAGTATTTTGGAGTTGTTTCATTTTTTTTTCCATTGAGTTGTTTTTTTCCAACAGCTTGAGCAAGGTGAAGGTTGCCAAAAGTGTAGGTGCTGCATGTAATGTGTGGCAGAGCTAGTGTGAAAACATGTGGCTGGATGGTTTGCCCAACATGCATTTCCATGCCGTCAGTGCTTCACGAAGCCATGGACATGCATTGACACGGAAATTGAACATGGCTCCCAATCCCAGGTGTGGCAAAGCAGATGGACGAGCAGTTCGAAAAACTGGATCCAGCGGCTGGTCCAAGTTTCATGCCTTTCTAGCATTTTCGAGTGCCGTGGGGATGGCCTTTCACTTCACCATTGCAGCATATTGCAGCCTGGCCACTGAGGACAGCAGCTTGAGACCAACCATCATCACACCTGCGAATGCCTGGAGAAAGACCTCGCAGCCCAAGTTGCTGGGAGAGAAGATGCTCGCCCTGGGATATCGTGGGATGACATGTGAGTTGTTGCCAGCGACTTTGGTCACTGGGTCACTGTTACAGGTGATGGGATGTTTATTGACGAGTTTTTGAGTGAGGCAATTGGAAACGAGATGGTGGCCTGACACGGCCTTATTGGTGGACCAGCGCAACATAAGTAGTTGAATTGGTGACTGCTGTTGTGTGTAATCTCACTGCGACTCCTGTACCAGAGGTTTTTTTGGGGGGGTTGGGTTTGTAGATATTTATATTATTTATGGATGATGTATGGATGATGTTTGTTAAATGTCGTTCTAGTTGTATTTGTTCCTGTTGTTGCTGCTGTTGTGGCAGTGGCGGCGGCCGTGGTAGTGCTTGAATGTGTATGGTTCGTTTCTATCAAACTGTATAATACTGTATATATTTATATAGTAGAATCTTGCTAGTGTACCTAGCAGTCAGCGTAGCCACCACTCTTTACTAGGTTCTTGCTACAGTTTTGTGTGTAATCCAAGATGTGTAGGTCTGCCAAACTGCAGGTGATACCATGAGAATTGCATCCAAACAACAACGCCACACAGAACTGATGGGTCGGATAAATTATTTTCCAATAATTGAGAATAAATATTAAAGAATTTGTTTTCGTTTTTTCGTTTGGGGAGGAGGGTCTGGGAAAGGGGGTTAAACATCAAACTTAGACGGGAACCGCGTTGTTGCTCAGGAAGACTGAAGAGCTTGGAGAAGACGGGCAACGGCGCCACTTTGCTGACATCCTGCGACATCCTGCAAGTACGGTTTGCTGATGCTCTCTATTAACTCTTTTGTGTTGCATTCCAATTGTTTAGCCGGGCAGTGGAACATCACCTGCTTGAAATGATTTTAAAAAACTGATTTACCTATTGATCTTATTAAACTGCAGAATTATTCAGCTTGGCATGTTGGTGGTAATCATACGCCCAGATATTTGTGCAATTGGTTTTGTATTTACATAAATATTTACAATTATTTACATATATTTTACAATGTTACATAATGTCACACATGTTATATTCATAGTACTTTTTGATCTGTAAAATATTGGTCAAATGAATGATTTATATGTATCTTATTTATTATTATTATTAGTAGTATTATTATATATTATTTATTATTATTTTTTATTATTATTATTATATGTAATTTGGCATGACCCATCCATGGCATGGTACCACCGTTTTTGTTTCTCGAGGGATGAAGATGGAAGCCTTTGATCTCTTGGATGCCATCACCAAGTCTGGAGCTCTGCCTTTGAGTTTCCTGGTGGCACGGCCATCAGCCAGGTGGCAGCACTGTTGTGATCGATTTGGCTGATAGTGTTTGTTTCTTAAGATTGACCGATTGACCTTCAACTGGGATATAGACATTATACATGCATATATGATCATATATATATATATTTATACATACATAATACAATTCATATATACATGCCGACAGATAGATAACTCCAACCCAACTCAGTGCTGTTTCAGTAAGTTGACTCAACCCCCTAGCAGTGACCGAGGCCATGCAACATTGCACATCGTGGTGGCTGCCACTCATTGCTTTGACAAGACCGTGACGGAGACAGTCATACAGGTGCCTCGTTGACCTTGCCTGTCCTATGATTTTTCATGTTTTTCCTTGGGCTGCGAGTGAAAAGGGGGGCCACCTGAGATATCCTGACAGTCATTGAGATGTTTTTTTTCCCCACCTGCCAGGTGAGGGTTGTTAGATTTTATGTCAGTTGCCTCCTCCTCCTGCCGCCTCCTGCCTCCTGCCTCCTCCTCGTCCTCCTTGTCGTCCTTGTCGTCCTCGTCGTCCTCGTCGTCCTCGTCGTCCTCGTCCAACTGCGACCCGCGATCCACAGTGTTCGCTGCCGGACCTCAACCACGACCATCCACGACTAGTGTTCCCTGCCGGACCTCAACCACGACCAGCCACGCCCAGTGTTCCCTGCCGGACCTCAACCACGACCAGCCACGCCCAGTGTTCCCTGCCGGACCTCAACCACGACCAGCCACGGTGTTCCCTGCCGGAGTATCCACGCCAAGTGTTCCCTGCCGGACCTCATGTAGGAAGATAAAATGTCAGATAGAGTGCCAGGAGAAATATGCCAGAAAATATGCCAGAAGATATGCCAGATGATATGCCAGAGATATTCCAGAAGATATGCCAGATAGAATGCCAATAGAATAGAAGAATGCCAGAAGATATGTCAGAAATATGCCAGAAGATATGCCAGATAGAATGCCAGATAATATGCCAGAAGATATGCAAGATAGAATGCCAGATAGAATGCCAGAAGATTTGCCAGATAGAATGCCAGAAAATATGCCAGAAGATATGCCAGATAGATATGCCAGAAGATATGCCAGATAGATAAATATATGCCAGAAGATGTCAGATAGAATGCCAGAAAATATGTCAGAATATATGCCAGAAGATATGCCAGATAGAATGCCAGATTGAATGCCAGAAGATATGTCAGATAGAGTGCCAGAAGATATGCCAGATAGAATGCCAGAAGATTTGCCAGATAGAATCCAGAAGATATGCCAGAAGATATGCCAGATCATATGCCAGAAGATATGCCAGATAGAATGCCAAATAGAATGTCAGAAGATATGTCAGATAGAATGCCAGAAGATTTGCCAGTAAGAAAATGTATAAATGTCATGGTGGGGATCACACGAAGTAAAGTAATTTTTTTTAATGGGGTCCATTCAACCTGTTCTTCACTTTCTCCCTGGTTTGGGACCTGCTGGCGAACTGGGTCCCCGGGGGTCCCCGGAGCCAGGAGAATGTCAACCCCATCGAAAAGGTGGAGCGTTCGAGTGTCTGGACTGAGGAAGACATGGCCAGCAAAATACCATGCGACGTATTTACTTGGTTTCAGTTTCCGGTCTAGACATACTACTATATACATCATATATATATACATATACACCTATATCTATATCTATCATCATCTAATAGTATGTATACATATATATATATATTACCTATATCTATATCTATATGTTCTTGTACCAGTAGGGTGTTGCCATGTGTTTCTGATGTTTGGATAAGATTGGAACGGTTGGTTTGACCAAAGGGCAAGTCAGTGACATGATGCGTCGTAGCCGTCGTAGCCCTTAGAGGGCTTAGAATGCCAGGTTTGATCATGGCCTCCGCTGTACACCAGAAAGCAGCTTCGGCCTTGATGAACGACTCGAGCTGTGCACGAGTGCTCGCGCATTCCCCTCAATTAGAGGATGTTTCTGAGAAAGTCAAGTAGAAACTCGCCCAGGATTTTCTGGGGCTCTGAAAACCTTGGGTGGTGCTGTGGGTGGCACAGTATGTTCACAGTTATGGTTATGATTCATTGTGGTTCATTGTAGCCTGCAAGCTCTTGAGCGCGGACGGTTGGGTGTTGAAGGAGAGCCTGCTGGTGCTGTTCACTGTTTCACCGAAGACAGATTGAAACCATTTAGAACCAATGCTTCTGGAATTGGCTAGAAAACTAGGTGTGTGAAATAGCCATCACAACAGTCCATTTCCTTCCATTTCCTCCTTCCCAGGGCAGAACTTGCTACAATCACTGAGGACGTTTGACTTTGTGCAGTTTCCTTGGTCTACCCTGCTGCATCGCTGCCATTGTACAGCCCATGGCTCGTGCGATAATTACGCTTGGCAGGAATCTGCCGCGACCAAAATCTGCTCTGAACTACCGCAGAAAAAAAAACAGCATGACGTGGGTCAACCATACAATTTCGTTTGCCAGTATAGGGCCACCGGAACTTCACAGAATTGAAGAAGACGTCGAAACTCAGCACGGCTTTGCATTGTGAGACGTTGTGAGACTTTGGAGTTCATGCGACATGCGCGGACCATGCGTGAAAAGCACACTCGTGCAGCGTGTGCTGGGAGCTTGCTGAGTTGTTTCGTCTCAACACCTCCGCTGTTCCCTTTTTTGCTGCAGTTGTCAGCAGCTGCGGCGCGCGGATTGACTCGCACCGTCATCCTTTGTTTTCCTTGCTTTTGACACGTGCAATCGCACTTGTATCGCCAGGTGTTCCTTTTTGATTTTCCTCGTTTCACCCAACGACTGATGTTTTATTTGCTCCATCTGGAAGCCATTTAGCATCATTTGGCCGCAGACAGATCAAGTAAACGGAACAATCCATCACATACGTCTGATGTGGTCACTCCACTTTCGCTATTTTCCGCTCTGTTCCACGTTTCCTGAACCTTGCAGTCCGAGCTGTAGGGTTGGTTTGTTTCATTCCCGGACAGTCTTTGTTGGCTGAAAGCGATTTTGCAGTGCTTAATCGCACCCAAAATGATATATAACATGATTTCATCGTGCCAAAAACTTACATGACCACCATGACCACACATCATGGTTTTTAACCCAAACTTGAAATCAACCACCAGCACTGGGAACCGCTCTTCAGCACAAAAAGGCATCATGGCTGTGGTCTTTGGTCGCCTTTGGTCGCCGTGGGACGCAGAAGCCGAAGGATCCGAAGGCCTCCAGGGTGGAGGTGGAGAAGGCGCCCTTGGAGGAGGAGAGGGAGTTGCAGACTGCTGGTTTTGGTGTGTTTAATAAGCAAATCACCAGTAGAAATCAGGAAACCTTGAGGACTTTTGGGCATTTTTAGGTATACAACAGGTATAGAAAAAAAGAGAGAGAGAGAGGTTTTTGGTCGGGCGGCTCAATCACCCACAAGTTCTTGTAATTTTTGATGCATGTTTCCTGGATGCGGATCCTTCCTAGTCATCTGGATGAGGACCGAACTGCTTTGTCACATGTGATGCCACAGCAAAACCCAAGCTCCGGACGGCCAAAGATCTTTCTGGAGAAACTTGAGCAGCAGAAGACTTGCAAAGTGCATTCTTGGCAGGATGGAAGGAAAGCATTTGAAATTCAGTTATAGAACCCAGATTGCCAGTCTAAAACATCCCGTCGGGGGAAAAACCGCGCCAGAGGTTGTGAGCGTTTTGAAAAAAAATGTTGTTTTCGCCATAGCGAAACTATGCGAAACTACTGATCACGAAAGGTAGCTCCAGAGGGGCTACCTTGAGTTTTACTTTACGAAGTAAAGGGGAGGGCGGCCAGCCCCGTTACCTGATTCTTCAGGAGATTGCTAGTCATTTTAGTACCCCCCCCCTCCACACCTCCCACGCACCCTAAGAGCAGACTCAAAACATTGTAATTTACAGTATTTTTGTTCTTTTCGGATCAAGAAACCACATTTTGCTACATGGTGAAACCTCCGTAAATACCAGTGTTTTTGCTAGGTGCTGGCCAAAAAACACTGTAAATACCGTGCTTTTTACTACCAGAGGCAAAAAACATCGTAAATACCGTGGTTTTGGGCTTCCGACCCGCCAAAAACATCGGTATTTACGGTGTTTTTTGCTCCGAGAGTTGCAAAAACACGCGAAAACACCACCGATTTGACGATTTTCGGCCACTACGGAACCGAGCAAAAACGCTGCAGGGGTAACACCAACACCAACAACAACAACACCAACAGCAACAGCAACAACAACAACAACGACGACAACAACAACAACAACACCAACACACAACGCACAATGCACAACGCACAACGCACAATGCACAACGCACAACGCACAACGCACAACGCACAACACACAACACACAAAACACACAACGCACACACAACACACACAACACACACAACACACACAACAACACACAACAACACACAACAACACACACAACCACACACAACAACACACACACAACAACAACAACAACACACACACAACACACAACAACAACACACACAACAACACAACAACACACAACAACACACAACAACACACGCAACACACAACAACGCAACAACGCAACAACAACACACAACAACACACAACAACACACAACAACACACAACAACACACAACAACACACAACAACACACAACAACACACAACAACACACAACAACACACACAACAACACACAACAACACACAACAACACACAACAACACACAACAACACACAACAACACACAACAACACAACAACAACACAACAACACACAACAACACACAACAACACACAACAACACACAACAACACACAACAACACACAACAACACACAACAACACACACACAACACACAACAACACACAACAACACACAACAACACACAACAACACACAACAACACACAACAACACACAACAACACACAACCAACACACAACAACACACAACAACACACAACAACACACAACAACACACAACAACACACAACAACACACAACAACACACAACAACACACAACAACACACAACAACACACAACAACACACAACAACACACAACAACACACAACAACACACAACAACACACAACAACACACAACAACACACAACAACACACAACAACACACAACAACACACACCACAACAACAACAACAACAACATCAACAGCAGCAGCAACAACAGCAACAACAACAGCAACAACAACAACAACACGAACACGAACAATACCAACACCAACAACACGACCAACAACACCAACACCACCAACAAACCCAACCACACCAACAACACTAACAACACCTAACAACACCAGAAACACTACCACCACCAACAACACCAACAACACCAATACCAACAACACCAACAACACCAACACCACCAGCACCACCAACACCACCAACACCACCAACACCACAACCACCACCAACCCCAACCACATCGCCGAAGCCTTTCAGTCGCTTTTACCAGACTCTCCTTCATATTTTTGGAAAGAAAATGGCCGCGTCGCTTTTACCAGACTCCACTTTATGTATTTTTCCCTCCCCTCCCCCCTTCATTTTTTCTTCGGTTCCTTTCTTGCTTACCTACCTTTCGTGTTCCCCCTCTCAAGTTCATTCTCCAAAATAGGCTTAAAATTCCCCGGGAAATTGAAGTGTTTCTTTGATGATGACCTGTAATTTACAGAGATTTTTCTCTTGAAATTGAAAAGGTGCGCGGTGTTTTTTTCTCACTCTCACATCGCCATGCGGTTCTTCAAGGAGCGACCAGCTCCAAAAGGCTTTTGGTTTTTGGAGTTCATCCTCCAAAAGTCTTGTAACTGAGCCGCAGAATGTTTTTCCGCAACAATGACAGCTTCTATCCTAGACTTTCACACGGGGAAGCATTATGTCCACGCCGACCACAGTGAGTGCACAACGGCTCAGCTTTGGATCCCCTGTTGACAATCTTTTTGATCACTGACAGCTTGCCTCCATTTTTGGACGCCCAACCCAGTAACGTGACGTAGCATGTGCATGTGCCGCAAGTTAACATGAACGTTAACATCGCCCCCGCAAACCAGTGACGTAGCATGTGCATGTGACGCAAGTTAACATGAACGTTAACATCCCCCCCAACCCAACCCACGTGACGTAGCATGTGCGTGTGACGCAAGTTAACATGAACGTTAACATCCCAACCCAACCTATAGCATGTGCATGTGACGCAAGTTAACATGAACGTTATTACCCCCCCCCCTCCCGGACCCCTGTTTTCAAAAACGTGCACGACTACTGGCGCGGTTTTCCCTCCGCTGGGTAAAACATTTTAGATTCAGATACATTCCTTGTCAGAGAGAAAGGTAGATATTGGGAGAGAAACAGAGACAGAGAGAGAGAGAGAGGGAGACAGAGAAAACACTATCAAAAAGGAAAAGAAAGAAAGATCGAGAGAAGTTTCATGTTCCCAATTTCCTTTCAGGGGTTCAATATATGTATATAAATATGTCAACAATTGTCAACTACAACCTCATCAAGACTGTGACACAGCGTCTCGCAAGGATCGCCATCTTCCGTGGAGCCTTCTTTGGAGTCGATCACCAAGCAGCCTTGGAGTTTGAACTTCATCCCGATGCGGCTCCGGATGAATCCAGCTGCGGTGGAAGATGGAATTGATGGAATCGGCCCATGGAAATAGATGTTTTGGTAAACAAAAGTCATATTCTATAGCTATATGTATAGTTTACTGGTGGGTAGGCATCTCGAATTTCAATAAAGAACGATTTGCATATTGTGGGTTTTCTGTGCCATGTTTGATTGTCAGAGGGTATGATGTGAGTGCACTTTCAATGTCTCATGGGATCGCATGGGACATCAATGTGTCATGAAAGACGAACAGGTAAAATGAAACATGGATCATTGGCATATATTGGCATGTTGGCATATATTTGCATGTTGCATAAGGAGGATAATTAATTAATAATTTGAGAAGTATTATGAAGTATTTGTTTACTAGAAAGTAGGTATTTCTGTGATTGGTCCTGCTTGGACTTGTTGATTGGTTGTTTAGCTTTGCACTCGAAACCGTACTCCATGATGCCATAGTCATGGTCAGAACTCCGGAGGATTGGCTTCAAGCCACTAGACTTCAAACAGATGGCACCATCAGAGACACGCCCAGGGCCTCCAGTGTAGTGCGATATACCCATTGGTCTTACTCCGTGTTTGATTACCGAAGGCATTTGAACACTATTTCATGGTACTGTAATGATTAATGAATTATATTATTAACTATATAACTACAAACATACATAACATACTTTGATGTTGTCCCCATAATTTCCAGGTCTTTCCCCATGTGCCCAAAAACGTACGTCCTGAGGTGGCTCCCAAGACCACCCGGCGCCTCTTAGAGGACTGCTGCGCCCAGCGCCTGCGGGACCGGCGCTTTGGGCCCGTCATGGCGGTCTTGGGCGGCGGAGATCTGGGCGACTCGAAGCGGCCGTTGGACCGTTGGAAACGTTGGGAACATGTGGAGGGAAAATGGGAAAGATCTCTGAAATTACCCTCTGGTAATGACTAACATAGCTATTGGAAATGGCCATTTATAGTGAGTTTTCCCATGAAAAATGGTGATTTTCCATAGTTATGTTAGTTTACCAGAGGGTAACTGAAACTAGCATCCATCCTGACTTTTTTGGGTCATCTTTTTTGGGGGGGTTGCTATATGTTGCTTCAAGATGATATAACGAAACCATACGAAACCTATAGAATCTTAATGGGGACTGTAACCAAGTATGATTTTTGGGCATACCTGAAAATGGTGAAATTATCCACAAATAGAGGACATGAATGAACATAATGATAAAGCGTCAATTTTTTCGGGATGCCCTAGTTTTAAATAAAACAATCCAAGCAGCTGAGGTGAACCCCAGGCAGAGACGGGGGAAGGCAAGGCACAAACATCGAGCTGGGATCATGCTGTGTGGATCTATATGTGGTGTAATTGTATGTCATGGGGAGTCAAACTCGCCTACCTCAAGGGTGCTCCCCTCCCAACCCTGGAACAAGGGATTGTTTTCACCCGCAGTCGTGCTACGGCCACAGGCCTGCGACACACAGAGCCCGGGATGCTGTCTGTCTCGAGGAAGAACGACTTTGCAGGTGGGAACCAAAGAGTGACTGATCCCTTCCACCTGATACCGTGTATTAAACATCCCACAGAAACTGTGGGTTAGTTCTTTCACTTATTTGGAACTTTTTTTAACCATTAGGGGCATGTGATTATTCCAACTATTCTACCACGGGGTTTGTTCTGTATGTTCCCGATGTTATTCGCGTTCCAGCAGGACTCAATCTAAGATAATCTAATCATCGACTTGCAGGATCATCCCAGTTAGCAACTGCTTAGTAAGTGCAGCGATTATTCATGCAATACCCGTTACCTCTCCAGGAATGGGGGAGATGCCAGCCATGGTTCCCAAACCGGCATCCCCATTTGTCTGAGGTACAGCACTTTTTCATCGATTCAAACACATTGTTTTTGTGGATCAATAAGCTCCTAACGGTCGGCTAATTTTTGCTTATCTCAAGTAATGTGAAAATCCCAATGCCCACCCAATGTGTATGAAATAGTGCCCATTTAGGATGGTGACTTGGGTTTATCATACATGTCTTAGATATTTTCCACATTTTCCATCATTTTCTCAGCTCTTTTGACTATGACTGGTGAGTTGTCAACTAAAATAACGAATGGAAATCCATGGGTTTCCCTTGCACATGATCTTCGGATATCTTCGGTGAGTTGCACCACTGGGTTCACTGGGTGGAGGTTACATCTTAACCTTGGCCGCCTCGCCCCGGCTGGACCGTGATCACGTGGCCTTTGGACGGTTGTGCAAAGGTGGGCCACCGAGATCATGGGGATTCATTAGCCTCTGGCTATGACTAACATAGCCATGGGAAATGGCCCATTTATAGAGGTTTACCAATTGAAAATTGTAATTTTCCCATGGCTATGTTAGTCATAACCAGATGGTATATGATATTTTTAATGGGATAGACAGGGTCAACCAACTCGATAGTTTAGTACTTCAATCTTTTGGTATCTTCATATAAATGGGAATATGGTGAATATATAATACAGTACCAACCTGCTTCATTTTTTGCAGTATTTGGGAGTCACTAGGTTTAGAGGAATGGGGAATGACATCCATGGGATGTGCGCTCTACTATTTTATAGTATTTTCCCGTCTCATATGTTTTTGCCCACCTGCCAGGTGAGGGTTGTTAGATTTTATCAGAGCTGTTGTCCTCCTCCTCGTCCGCCTCCTCCTCCGCCGCCTCCTCCTCCAGTTTCTCCAGTGTGCACTGCTGGACCTCAACCTGGGACCTTCCCAGCTCAGTGTGCACCGCTGACCTCAACCTGGGACCTTCCCAGCTCAGTGTGCACCGCTGGACCTCAACCTGGGACCTGCCCTGCTCAGTGGGCACCGCTGGACCTCAACTTGGGACCTGCCCAGCTCAGTGTGCACCGCTGGACCTCAACCTGGGACCTTCCCAGCTGCACTGCCGGACCCCAACCTGGGACCTGCCCAGCTCAGTGTGCACCGCTGGACCCCAACGGCCAGATAGAATGCCAGAAGATATGCCAGATAGAAAGCATGTCAGATAGGATGCCAGAAGATATGCAAGATAGAATGTCAGGTAGAATGCCAGAAGATATGCCAGATAAAATGCCAGAAGATATGCCAGATAGAATGCCAGAAGGTATGCCAGATAGAATGCTAGAAGGCATGCCAGATAAAGTGCCAGAATGTTTGCCAGATAGAACGCCATTTGCCAGATAGAATGCCAGGTAGAATGCCAGAAGATTTGCCAGATAGAATGCCGGATAGAATGTCAGAAGATATGCCAGAAGATATGCCAGGTAGAATGCCAGAAGATATGCCAGATAGAATGCCAGAAGATATGCCAGATAAAATGCCAGAAGATATGCCAGATAGAATACCAGAAGGTATGCCAGATAGAATGCCAGAAGGTATGCCAGATAAAGTGCCAGAATGTTTGCCAGTTAGAACGCCAGAAGATTTGCCAGATAGAATGCCAGATAGAATGTCAGAAGATATGCCAGATAGAAATGCCAGAAGATATGCCAGAACATATGAGCAAGGGTCAAAAGACGCTATGAAAGGCTTCAATTACGATCCGCCATCACTACTCAAAATATGTGATTTACTGTGTGTGGCGATAGGGGGCCTTATGTAGCGATACCTCTTTTTAGACTTTGTTTATGATTGAACCTTCCTGTTGGGCGCATGACTTTCCAATCTTTTGATGTCAGAGTGCGACACTGGAGCAGTCGCAGTGGGCTGGTCTTCCTGGGTAGTTGCAAGATGGCCTGTCGTCAAGTATATATGAGATAGTTACATTAAACAATATTGATATATTGTGGTATGTTGATCTATAAGGTATGCAAGAAACTAATTCATAACGCATCATGAGCTTGATGATGGTGATGATGCTGATGATGATGGTGATGGTGATGATGTTGATTCAGATAGTGACCGTGCTGAGATATGTTGAAAAAGCATCCTTGTGCGGTCACGGACGCTTCTCCAAAGCCACTGTCCAGGAGTAGAATTGCAACATGGAGCTTGTCAGAATTTCGTGTCACTTGAAACATACCCCTGAGATCACACATTTTCTGGTCCCCGTAGCGATGCCCGAAGCGATACCCCTCGATACCCAGAGCGATACCTGAAATCCATGAAATTAGGAGTACCCCACATGGTCACTTGAAACTATACAACTTGTGCTATAGGTGGAAAAATATGGGACGTATGAACAAGGGTACCCTCAAGTTCTTAATGGGTTAGTTCTTAAAGGGTTCATTTGGTCAGGGTTTTGCCGATTCATTTTGGCGTGGTATTAGGTTGCAAAGGAGGCGGGGTGAAGAAAAAAAGGCGCCGGAAACAAGGCAGCACAGGCAAGACAAGCCAAGACAAGCCAACACAAGCCAAGGGCAGCCTCCGAGGTCAGATGACCTGCAGTGAGTCCGGTTGGTGTCTAGCTGAAGCTGTCGACGTCAGCCTTGGTGATCACGCAAAAGTTTGAATTTCCCTGGAGATACCATCGCAAGAGGAATAAGAATCCGATTCCTCATCTGGATCCTCCTCTTCTAGCAGCGATTCTGCCTAGTTGATGAAAAGGGTGCTGGGACTGTGTGTAGCGATAGGGGGCCTTATGAAGCGATGCCATGACCTCACCACATGAATTGAGTTTTGACCGTCGCACATATGCCAGAAGATATGCCAGGTAGAATGCCAGAAGATATGCCAGATAGAATGCCAGAAGATATGCCAGAACATATGCCAGAAGATATGCCAGGTAGAATGCCAGAAGATTTGCCAGATAGAATGCCAGATAGAATGTCAGAAGATATGCCACAAGATATGCCAGATAGAGTGCCAGAAGATATGCCAGAACATATGGCAGAATATATGCCAGGTAGAATGCCAGAAGATATGCCAGATAGAATGCCAGAAGATATGCCAGATAAAATGCCAGAAGATATGTCAGATAGACTGCCAGAAGATTTGCCAGTAACAAAACGTATAGATGTCATGGTGGGGATAACTCGAAGTAAAGTATTTTTTGTGTAAGAAAAGAGGTATGCCTCTCACTTGCAGGATATCGCAGGATTGTTTGACAGCTAATTAGTCTATAATAATATTTATTCATGAATTTGGGATAATTTAGGTATATACCATGCATGTGATACGTTGTGATGTTACCAGGACAAATCTTGTCTGCCAAATGGTCAGCACTATTGACCGCTGTTTTTTTTCAAGGGCGGGGTGGAAGAAATGAAGTCTCAGGTGCGGAATTTCTGCAACATATCCGTGAAGCCCGAGATTCCGAGTGCAAGGCACCGTGTGCTAAGAAAGGATGGGGTAGGCCCGAAGAATCCTTTAGGATGGGACCCAAAATCATCATCCTAAAATGGTCAATTCTCATAGGCAGTTTGAGAGGTGGTGATTGTGTGCAAATAGCTACTCGTACCGTTCCCAGCAGTCCTTGCAAAGAAAGTAGAAACGTAATTTTGGCCCGAGGGCCAATGTCAGCATACCGCCATATTCTGGCATTTCCCATTTTTATGTGGTTGTTTTTCGTTTTGAACGTGTATACTGTGTATATATATATATATGTATATATATTGTTAACTCTACAATATTATGTGTACATATATATATATATATATGACTGGTACATATGTATATCATCATATACATATCCAAATAATTATATATACATACATATACACATATCTACACATATACCTACTGTATATATATATATATATACACTCATAATGATACACATTTATACCTATACATATACATACACTGATATTTACACATATGCAGATATGTACATACATGCAGACAGTCAGACATACATACATACTTACATTACATTGCATTGCATTGCATCGCAAATGTATTTTTAAGTATTGGCTTTGCATACATGATTGAGGTCACTCCAAACCGGTGTTGTTCTTTCATAGATGCTTCCAGCTGTGCTCAAGATGTGAGTGGCCTAGCCAAAGAAACATGGATTGATCGTGAGGTAGACTTGTTGGATATACATATATAATTACAATGATAATATAACCATGTAAAAACACAGATTCAACATATCATAAAGTATCCACATCCTTTCTGGGAACACTTACAGTTTGGCGCGAAGTCGCCCCAGCTCACCAGGAAGTTCGCGTGGTGAATTGCGGCGAGGTCCTGCGGGATTTGGACGAACGCAGCCGTAGCCGCAGCCCGCGAAAAACGTGCCAGCACTGCTTCATGCTTGTTGCTGATGTTCCCGGTAGCCATGTAGGAAGACCATCTATAAACATATTATTCTAAGATATTCTCATTGGTTCCCCGATAAAACTCATCAAAACCACCTGACCTCGGGATATCAAGGAGCCTCCATCGATGTGCATACCGCACTCGCTGTACATAAAACATCATGTGAAGCATAGTGTTTTCCTTTTAAGAAACATGTGTGTTGTGATCCATTCGGATTTGATCGATTTAAATCAACTTGATCCTTGTAGTCCCCTGAAAATCCACTGGTGACTGGTGCCAATTCACAGCTGAATCGATGGCCATTTTGAGTCTCATCGATCATGCTGTGCCGCTGTGGCTGCGCTTCGGCGACGCCACTTGCGGAGCATGCTGCGCGGCTGTCGAGCCAATGTGCTCGGCACTCCCAGCAGCAAACACTAGCCTATCCGATGTATACTGCTACCTGGCTGTGCAAATCCCAGCAATCTTAAAAAATCACTCTTACACTTTTAACATCTTTACTATACAATTATAAATGATTGATTCGTTTTACACATGTTTCACTTCCCAACCACAGACGGATACACATGGGATGATGATCCGGTGAGCCCAATCGAAAGCACGGGTGCTACAGATTCCCCTGCAGGAATGAAGCGTGGCGTAGCTGTTGCATTCAAGAAACCAGTACACACAAGGATGATGACATTCACTTACATACTGCATTGATTTAGGTGGTGTGCATTGTACATTTAAAATCACATAAATGTACATATTAGTTTCGCTTATACCTTTTGAACAAAATACACATATATACATAATATATTATGTACACATATTCGTGTAGGTTTTTCATTTGTATATTTAGATGGTTTATCCATGTTTATCCTGTTCCCTTTCTCCTTCTTCATCGTCACCGTCATCCTCATCCTCATCCTCATCATCCTCATCCTCATCATCATCATCATCATCATCATCGTCATCGTCATCGTCATTCCCATCCTCATCCCTTGCTTTCAGGTTTCTAGTGACGTCAATGCTTGCGGGGCACCGAGGTTCCGCAAGAGACTTTCCTGGAGTTTTCCAAGATGCGGCCACATGAGGACCTGGGACTTGGGGGTGGGAGGCGGTCTGGACATGGGGTATTCCTAAATTTGATGGTTGACAGTTGATCATGGTTTTCCCCCACGCAGAAACAATCATATATGATACACTCATTTTCCCCTATGAACACACCATGCGACGCCCCCCTCCAACGACCCCGGCTCTCAGGAGTTGCTGAGAGAAAATGTCTTGGTGCTTTTCGAAGAGACGAAGGGCCGCGGATTTTTCATTTCACACCAATGGGTAGGTGTGAGGCATCCAGACACTTGGATCAGTAGCAAGCAGCAATGATATCGATGCAACATGGGATGCCGACTTCAGATTGATCAACTCTTGTCTGATTGAATTGTTGGAGCCTCATTTCCAGAATCAATTTATGGTGTTTCGTCACTATTTGGATCATCCAGGGTCCACATGGTCCACTGCGCCCAAGGATCCAGAAATGAAGCAGCTGGTGGTCCTGCAGGACGATGTGATGTAGGAGACATATTGGAATAGTTACATTTACCCAATTTACCCTTTGGTAAATTAAGAGTTTGAGCCTGAAAATTACCAATTCTTAATGGAAACATATGGAAACTAATCTTCCCCCTATCTGGCAGGGTCGTTAATTTTCCGGATGGTATATTTCTGTACAATAAAGCCATCATATCCTGAGACCTATCATATTCATATTTTTGTTGAGGACCTCTACCTGCATTGTGATGATTGATTCCACGGAAAGTCTACAGGTTTTACCAGACCTGAAACCATAGGGTTTAGCCATGAATTCTAGGGGAGGTTGTATGATTTCTTGTTCCCATCAGACCTTCCCAGGATGCATTGAGGCAGATGATGTCGGGCTGCAGCACCATTTCCATCGCGCCAACCGAAGAAATGCTCGCCGCTTCGGTTGGAGTCGGTCGATGTCATCGTCGTTTCACAACGGCGGGAGCTAAAATGTTCAGGGCAGTTGCAGGTGTAGTTAGATGACATTCGTATTTGAATGTATTGTTGCTATGTATATGTAGTGACGACTTGATATATTTTGATTGTCGAATTGCTTGAGATTGTAATGGATACTCTCTGTGGAACTTGTAAGGATAGCCACAAATTGTGTTTTTGTAGATGAGCCGGCCTTCCCTGTTCTCTGACCCAACTGGCTGGTGCTTTGGGTGCTTTTGCATCTGAGGGTGTACATCGAAAAGGACTTTCAACCAAGAAACCCGTTTGCAATGGCTGAGATTATGATGCACTTTCGCGCCTTCTATGTTTGCAATGTGTTCATTCTTTGTATGTGATGTAGATGTGTCGGCCGTATTGCATTCAAATTGGACTGATTCAAGAGTCTTCCTGTTGTTCATCATGACCTTGATTTCAAACGCCTATTTGATTCGATTTCGTTGCTAAGCTTCAACTATGTGTGTGTGCAGTTTCTATCAGCAGTTTTCAACAAAGGGTGCAATGAGCCTACGGCATCATTGAAAATCCTCTCCTCACAACTAGATAGACAAGAACATCTCACATAGATTCACATACCGTGTTCCTTTTTCTGGGGGATGATCAACAGTGATCGCTCTCAATCTTTCCTAGTGATTGAAAGCAAGATTTGGTCTCACATATATACACATGTATATATATATATATGTATGATTGAGTGCACATGAATTGCAGGATGTCAAACAACTTGGCCAAGGAAACTCCAGAGCGGCAGAAACTTTTTGTGGTACGACTCTGGGCGGGAAGATGTCATGGATCACCGAAGATGTGCAAGGGAAGAGGATCAACGTGTACAGTAAAATAATGTGAATCTGTAATTCCACAAAATAATGTACAGTAAATTAATGTGCAATAGCCTTCCAAGTTATCATTGTTTCCCGCAGAATTTTCTTGAAACATCTTGAAACCAATTCTGGGAAAAATCTTTCTCCTGGGACGAAAGAAGCAGCAGAACAGGACACACCATGATCCTGTTCACCAAAGGAGTCGACTCGGTGGAATTCTGGAACTGTTAGTATTCTGGGTTTGGACCGGTTTCGTTGTGCCACAATCCATCATATTCCAACCTCAATTCTTCCCAGCGCTGTTCTCAGGACTACTTCTCATGTCCACAACTGTCAGAGGAGGATCTCAAGAAATCAGTGGATAGCATTCCTGGCTACATCACACGCTGCGAGTACTTGTTCGTTCTTTGCCCTGCAACTTGCCATTCTGTTTGGTTGATTTTCGTATTTTAGTACAGTGCAGCTTTCGCGTTTTGGTTAGCCAAACCCAAGGCATTGCTCCCGCTTAGCACACAAATGGGCACAGACGCAGGGAGTTGAGTGGCATGGCATGATGCAGGTGAAGTATGGTGAAGCATTACCCTCTGGTAAACTAACATAACTATGGAAAATCACTATTTTTCATGGGTAAATCCACTATTTCTATTGCCATTTTCAATAGCTATGTTAGTCATTACCAGAGGGTAAAGTCAGCCAATGGTTGGCGAACTCTTCCAAGGTCCTGACCCGAGCTGAAGGCGTGGGCACTTGGCTGTGGGCGACCAATGGGTTGTGTCCCATCATGTTCGAAACATTTGAATCATGTTGGTTCATTCTTGTTTGGACTACGACAATGCCCCAATATTCAACAACAGATGTTTTGAAAGCCATTCACCAGAGCAGAAAGTTGAACTGCCCATGAGCCATGAACCGTATAGTATCGTATAGTATATAAATGCACACGCACACATACATCATTATATATATATATATTATAGTGTAACCACTGACAAGATTTATATATATATTCTATACATGCATATGTATAATTATATGATGTACAATGTATATAATTACATCATCTATACATTTCGTTTGTGAATATAGAATGACAATGTCATATATATATATATATATATTATACACACATATTCATATACGTATGTTGTTTTGTTTGGAGTAGCCATTTTTTCCAAATCCAAGGTCGGGAGACCATGAACAAAGACACCTGGGGCTCGCGCGGCTGGTGCCTGGCGGAGCACATGGCCGGAGAGCTCTGCGGCGTCAACGACAAAGCCGCTTGGCACCACGGGTAGCACAAGATATGCCCCATGTTACTGGTGAAAAAAGGGATGATGATGGATGATTAAGATTCAATTAAGATAGTTTATTTAACACATCCAAAATAAAAGCAGTAGCTTAAACCATGAAAAAATATGAGTTGAAGGGCGGAAGATCACTGACCTTCAAAAGTTGCAGCATTGTGGGCCTTAAAATGGATCAGAAAATACCCAAAATTCACTGGTTGCACAGCTCGGGCAAATGTTTAATTTAGATTATCATGGTTTTGGGAGTGTGATGGTCCTTCAATTTCTTAACACTCTCTTAACTTAGGGCCACATTAGGCTCTAAAGAAAGTGTTTGGGTGTAAAAGCGTGTGTGTGTGTGTGTGGAAAGGTCTGCATGTAAACGTGCATGCGTGCGTGCGTGCGTGCGTGCGTGCGTGGGTGTGTGTGTGTGTGTGTGTGTTTGTGTAGAAGGGTTTGTTTGTAAAAGCGTGTGTGTGTGTATGTGTGTGTGGAACATCTGAATAGATGTAAAACTACTTGTACTTTGCTCGTTTTCGTCTGAGTTTCTAATCTTAGTTTGGTTTTTCAATCTGATTTTCAGCAAGGGTTTCCAATCTGAATTTCAGCAGGGGGGCAGTGAATCTCATTCCATCCACTGCCCAACGAAGACGGTGGTTTGAGATTGTGATATCGGGACTGATCATCCCGATGTACCTGCAAATTTCCAATTTCCATTTTGTCGTCAATGGCAACCGGCTAAGCCAAGAACCGGCATGTCGTTTTTCCAACAGTTTTCAAACCAAACGACTGTACGGTTTTCGCAATCTGATTGAGCTGCATCAGAACAAGTTTATCCTTCGAGCAAGGACGTAGAAAGCTTACTTCGCACTAGCTCTCACGTTGGGTCATCCAACCGCTCCTGTCAGGTTTAACTGAAGTGTTTTTGCTCGTACGATGCATTCCACATCAGTAATTCGATAAGATACTTCTGAGCAAGTGTGTGTGCTTCATCCTGGATTCGTCAAGGTGGCATGAACTCCTCGGGAAAGCCTTCCCAGGCTAAAGATTGACACGTTGAAACGATCTCTGAGTTTACACTTTTGAATTGGTAATTCATCTAAGTAAAGTGAAACAGCCGTTCACTTTTCAGGTCTCACCTGTCGATGTCGTTGTGTTGAACAGTGTGCCGCTGTGCCTGGCTTCACCTTTTCTTTTGTCTGAATTGACGCTTTTGAATTGGTAATTCGTCTAAGTAAAGTGAAACAGTCGGCCTTTTTTCCAGGTCTCACTTGTCGACGTCGATGTGTTGAACAACGTGCCGCTGTGCCTGGCTTCACCTTTTCTTTCATGATCAGGCAACAGGACATGCTTTAGGTGTGGTTTTTCTTTCTTTTTTGGTCGTTGGTGAGGTTCAATTGTGCACGTAATTCAGGGGTTGACTACTTCAGCTGTCTATAGGGTTGATCTGAACTCTGGCCATTGAGCCTAACAAGGGGACGCTGCATGACAATGTGGATGCATCAATTTTCACCAACTAGGTCCCCATTGGTCCCCTATCTCATGCGTGCTCCCTTTCTAGGTCAGGTTTGGGTCCTTCGCGTGCCGAGGTAGGTTTTGGCTCTCGCCTTGTAGGTTGTGTCAGGCGCTTCTGTCCGCCCCCCCCCTCCTCTGGTTGGTTTTTGGCCCGTCGTCCGTCCGCTTTTTCTTTTCCCTTGCCCTTTCAGGGTTTGCCCGTCTCGGGCTAGGTGTGTTGGTGTTGGTGTTTTCTCCTTCCCTTTTCCTTTTTGCGTTCCCCCTCTTGTGTTCTGGTTAAGTAATTGTCATTTCATCTTCATCGTCATTTCATTTCCATTTCTCTCATTTTCACCTTCATCTCATTCGTCGGGGCCTTAAATGCCCCGCGGCAGCGGGGCGTGTGTGTGTATGTGTGTGTGGAACATCTGAATAGATGTAAAACTTCTTACTTGTACTTTGCTCGTTTTCGTCTGAGTTTCTAATCTTAGTTTGGTTTTTCAACCTGATTTTCGGCAGGGGTTTCCAATCTGAATTTCAGCAGGGGGGCAGTGAATCTCATTCCATCCACTGCCCAATGAAGACGGTGGTTTGAGATTGTGATATCGGGACTGATCATCCCGATGTACCTGCAAATTTCCAATTTCCGTTTTGTCGTCAATGGCAACCGGCTATAAGCCAAGAACCGGCATGCCGTTTTTCCAACAGTTTTCAAACCAAACGACTGTACTGTTTTCGCAATCTGACTGAGCTGCATCAGAACAAGTTTATCCTTCGAGCAAGGACGTAGAAAGCTTACTTCGCACTAGCTCTCACGTTGGGTCATCCAACCGCTCCTGACAATTTTGCACGTACGATGCATTCCACATCAGTAATTCGATAAGATACTTCTGAGCAAGTGTGTGTGTGTGTTTGTAGAAACGGTCTGTGTGTAAAATTGCATTGGTGTAAAAGTGTCAGCGTGCGTGTGTGTGTGTGTAAAATGCCTTTGTGTGTAAACGTGCGTGTGTGTGTGTAAGTAAAAGTGCGTGTGTGTAAAAACGCATATGTGTAAAAGCGTCAGTGTGAAAGAGTGTGTGTGTGTAACATCTAAATAGATGTAAAACTTCTCCTTTTTTCTTGTTCTTTCTTCTCTCCTTTTAATAAAGCAGGGGGCCAGGAACCCATCACTGTTTGTCCTGGCCAACGAAGACCAGACAGTATGGGGTTGAAAAAAAAACGTACCTGCAATTTTCCTCATGATGGGACGTGGCTAACCCAAGAACCACCACGCCGTTTGCAAACAATTTACTTTACATGGTTTTACACGGTCGCCGCAATCTGATTTTGGATGACGATTTATTTGCCGCTTTTTGGAGTCTGGTTTGAGCTACGTTGGATATTTTCGGAAGACTTTCATTATATTCACGAAGTACAACCACGAGATCTACTTTTTAGGTCTAATTGTCTAGGCTTGTTGCACGTTACAGGATTCAGTTCCTGATGGATCTCTTCAAAGATCCAATTTTGTCTAGTGTGTGAAAGTGTCGGTGTTACAGTGTGTAAAACCGTCTTTTACAATGCATTCTCAACAGTGCTGGCGGCTGGCGCTGCTTACATTGACGCTGCTTATAGAATGGACACATATTCCCAGCTTGGCAAAATACAGCCTCACCGGCTTTGTCACTCAACAGTTTGTCCTTAGATTTTTGGCCCCAGAACACCTGTGCGTACTATTGGGCCTAATCATTTTGGAGGCCCTTATACTGGGTAATTCAATTAAACAATAGCGGCATATACAGGGGATTGGATTATATATGCATGTGTCAAAAAATGCATTACAATGCATTATATTTGTAATATGATATAACACAATTAAATATAACATAATTTCATACAACATAATTTCTTACAACATAATATAATATAGTAATAACATATAGTAATATCATATCATATAATATCATATAATATCATATCATATCATATCATATCATAATTGGAAACATATGCAAAAAATGTTTTTTTACAAGTAACACGCATACACTAGGCCACTTAATGTGACCTTTTCTGTTTTTTTCATGTTTCACTTGATTCACCCCCGGAAAAGGTTACTTACATAGAATCATATCCAAGGGTCACTTAGCCATTTATCAGGGGTCACTTGGACTATCAGAGATGTCACTTGGCCATCCTTAGAATCCCTCGGGTCTGATTTCTAGGCTTTGGATTCATTTGGGGTGAAAGATGGCATGCTGACACAAATCCTGCACTGTCGTCCAAGTATGCCTAAGTGACCTTTTTCTGGCACGCTGAAACACGCATTGACACGCGCCATGGTCAAAATACACCAAAATGCTAAGTGACCTCTTTCTACATGCTATATAAGTGGCCCCTTTTTGAATGCTAAGTGACCTCTAACCTCTTTCTCGATACTCCCCACCCTTTGACAACACACTCGCGACACGCTTTGACACTCTCTGACACGCATTGGCGCGCATGAAAAAGAGGCAATCACAATCTAAGCCCCAAAGTACTGAACCTGTATCCAAGCTTCATTAGGGGAACTCAAACCCACCAAGAGGTCACTTAGCAAAGAGGAAAAGAGGTCACTTGGCAAACCAGCATGTCATAAGTGGCATCTTGTCATTTTTGTTCTACGTGACCTCTAAAAGAGATCACAAAGAACGTCCATATGTTCAGTTTGTGAACGTCCATATGTATGTATAGATGTATATTTATTTTCATGGATTTGTAGGTTACTCTACTCCATGGTCGAAGGTAGCCAATCTACCCGTCAGGTCATCGTGGTCGAAAGCGCTACACATATCACGATGGCGACCGGCTACAAAGCGAACCTCATCCGTCCGGGTGAAGGTCCCTTGGGCCGGTTCGTTGTCGGTGGCCACCTGGCCCCTGATGTGATGGCTGGTGGAATTGTATGTGTATGTGTATTTTTTAACTATAAATATAAATATAATATCTAGATATTTTAAGTGTATGTGCGTATATATATATATTTGAAAAAAAAAGCGCAATGGCTACAGTATATTGTCACGTTGTCCCTAGGCTGGAAGAAATTGTCAAGAAGCCTCAAGACGCCGCAAGATTCTACCAAATGCACTTCAAGGGTGCCATTTTGGTCATTCATCCGTGTCCATGAAGTAAAGTTGATCCTAGGAACGGATATTGTTCTAAGATGTTCTAAGTTTATTATGGCATGTATGGCCGTGAATGTGATATGTCCTGGGTGGCCAAAGACAGTGAAACTTATTCTGTTCAGTGTTCCGCGTGCCACGTTGGTTCCACGACCCAGTTTGCGATCGCAAAGTGAATCTGCGAGAGTCCTCAGGCATGTTTTCCTTCAATGAAGACCGAGAAGCGGTGGCAAGGTTCTTGAGGACCTGTGGTGTGCCGATGTCATTTTAGAACCTGATTATGGGAGGGGGTCCAGGCCCACATTAAACTGTGGTTGACGGCTCCTTTCAGTGAAGCCCACGTCTAGATCATATATGATATCATGTGTAATTATCTAATCTCGTTGCAATTGGTGTGGCCAACTTGCAAGCTTCATGCATAAAAATATGTGTCATGCTGCCTCAATCTCACTGCTCGAAACCCATCAACACCCTGTTTAGCGCAATCTGGCCAAAAGAAGAGAGCTAGTTTCAATGCCATGAGTCAGTCGATATCGGTTCAGAGTTAGTTTTTCGTCTAGTTTAGATGATGGTAAACATTTGAAACATATTGCATGAGCATTATATTACTGGTCTCATGAAATGGTTGAAACGACGTTTTCTACTATTATTTCCATCATTTTCTATCATTCATTTTTGGTATGTGGGGGGGAGCTTTATATCCTCTTCAGGTTTGTGAGACAGGTACTCAAACTTGGATGATCGTCGATAATGTCGACCCCGGATGTTGATCATTGGGGAGGAGTACTGTACCACTTTTTTGTGTCAAATCATCATAGATTATCACCACCTAATTAGTT